ACAAATAATCAATGCCTAGTGATTTTGTGTCTGTTTTGCTCAGTGTGAATAAGAGATAAAGGTACATGTATTGCAAAGTGAAAGTAACAATCAGAGGTAGGTGTTTAGTGATTCAGACCAGTTCAAAAACACACCTCTCAGCTGGCCTGTGCCAAAATACATAGTTTGCTCGCCATTACTAACAAATCAATAGATGCATTTGTAAAGGATTAATAGCTTTGCAACCGTGTGGTGCTCCAGCTCTGCAATCCTGCAACTGTTTGCAATTCTGAAATTGTCCTCTTGTATCGAGAACATGAACTTGGCCTCTGGCATACTTTCTTGGCTACTACTGCTTGAGAATTAATTCTTAAAGTTCAGGGAGGTGTAAAGGCTTTCTACATATTTCACCGTTTTTTTTTTTTTTAACTATTGATTTAGTAGTACAAAAACAATGGGCAGCCGACCACTGTAGTGCTGTATTTACAGTTATTGTGGATCGGACTGTGGAGGAGCTCAGCTGGTCTGGAGAGTGAGCTGTTCTCTTTTTCACTTGACTGGCCACGGCCTGCCTGTGGACTCATCTCCTCTCTTTCTATGCGTCTGTCAGTCTCTTTCCATCTCTCTATTGCTCCATCACTCTTTTTCTCTTTATCTCCCTCTCTGCTCTCACCATCTGCCTTTATGCCTGATCTGCCTACATATTTCCTAACCGTCTCTCAGGAGAGGGCTGGGGGATGGGGTGGGGGGGCTGAGAAAGTGGGAAATGGCAGATATGGGAAACTGGAGGGGAAATAATTGCGAGAAGGTGCGAGAGAAAGAGAGACGGGGGAATTGTCAGTGATATTATTTTTCAGAGCAAGTGTCAACAGTGAAAATTTGGTTTGGTTTCCGTATAATCTGTATTTGTGTGGAATATAGTCCATCTTCCAATAACTTTAATTATTTGCATTATGTGCATGTGTACACTTACTTGTGTAAATTTATTGCACAGGATTACTTAATATGATCAGAGACCAAGGCAATCTAAACCTAAAAAATCTGCCTATAAAATGATCTCTTGATAACTATCAGGGAGTTTTCCAGTGATTGCAGTTGCAGTTCCCAAAATAACAACTTAGTGCAACCCGATACAGACTGACTCAACTATATGCTAGTTTTTGTCATTTATGTTTTAACATATATAAAAAAGTGTTTATCTGTTGTCGTATTTTTTTTAAACACCTTGTGTGTGAGTTTGAATGCCAAACCCGACTCTGCTGTAAACAGACACGTTTTAACATTTGGCTCGACAAGTGATCCAAATCAGCATTTCTATTCTTAGAAGCTTAATATGCACAGATCTTGTTTTATTTATCTGCGTGTATCATCAGACCCCAGTGTTTAAAACTGTCTTCCGTCACAGTGCACTGCATTCGTTGAGGGATTACGACCCATCTTTGTGTGTGCAGCGTGTACTGTATTACCCTGAAAGCTTGACAGACTGATCCCAAGGGGCAGTTCTGGTACATGCATGCCTGTGTGTGTGTGTGTGTGTGTGTGTGTACACATTTGCGTGTGTCCACTGTTCATTTACTCATTGACATCGCTCCCCCTGCTGTATCCTGTGGGCCTTTATGCTGGGAGGAATCAATAACCTTCTCCCTCGCCTTGCCTCTCCACTGTGTCTCTACCAGAATAGCGCTCTGTAGCACTTCCATCAGCTCAACTCCTCCTGCACGTTGCACTGAGCGCACTTGCAAATGTATGCGCATGCTAGTTGTTGATTTTTTTAAACTCTAAAGTAAAAATGTTATACATCAGAGAATAACAGAGAAAAGTGCCTTAAAACAGCTGCAACGCCAACATCCTTGTGTGTGTGTCTATAAACACACAAATTCATGCTCCTACTATCTCACTCCCTCCCTGACATTAGCCGAACAGAGTCCATTACTGCCAGGTAATAGGTGAATGTCACAATAGCAGGATGTCATAAAGCTCTGGAGTGGTCTAATGGGTTTTGTTCAGGTTGAGGTGACACATGCACACTCGTCCACGCACGCACACACACACACACACACACACACACACACACACACGCTCTTCCAGGAAACTATCTTCCTATGTGCTTCATGCATTTTACTCATCACACCACAGCACGGAGCCCTGATGTGTTTGAAGAGCTAATACGGTCTGTTTAAAGAAGTAAATTATGAAAATCATTTTCGTTTGAATACAAAGGAGGGGCTCTGCTGTTGTTAACTTTTATGCAATTTAATTGTCTGTGCAATATCAAACTCTAACACAAACAATGTGAGAGAAAGATGAAGTGAGAGCATGAGTTAACTGACCCTGAAAGAGAAGTAAAAATGTACAAGCAGGCAACTTAGCAAGCTCAGGAGACCAAAGAAAACACTGACTGTAATTACAACCAAAGTGGGAAAACTTTGGCACGGATACAAGCAGAGAGGCAAAAGCAGAGGTTGCTGCCAGTCATCAAGCCTTGCAGCCTCAGGGGGCAGGCAGATGGGAGAGGAGAGGCTTATGGATGGAGTTATCATGTGAGCTCATTTGCTTCATGTGCCGGCACAGTGGGGAGGAGAAGGATGCAGGAGGACAGCAGGAGTGGGCGGGTGGAAACATCATGATTTGATTCAGCCACTCTAATAATCAGCTGCTTTTTAATAAGCTTGGTTTTCGTTCCATTTCCGAATTGATAAATAGATGACAGTGTTCCATTTTATTTGACATTTGAAGGACGTTGTTTTGGTTGTGCTCCTTTTCTCAAACACATAAGAGGACTAATGCTGTTATTATTAACAGCTGATATTGGCTCAAAGATATATTGGTATTCTATTGATGATGGCGAGTTTGTGATTATTCCATTTTCTTTTTTACATTTTCAATACTGAAAACAACAGTTTCATAGTTCAGTTGTAACACAGCCTTTGTGCTTGATATCAAACTGTATCGCTCCCATATTGTCAGCAGCAGCACTAGTCACACGAAAGAAACAAGATCTGAACTTTGAGGAGCTAACGCACCTTTCGATGGGGATGTTAGAGACAGTCAGGCTGGAAAATAAATGTCACTACTGTCATGATCGTGCTTAAAGTTCAGACAGAAATGTGGGGGAACATATAGGTCTCTGCGCAGCACTAGTATCGACAAGCAAACAATATCCAGCACTAGAGTCAGACTAAAGGCAGTATCTTAACTAATCAGAATTGAGAGAATCAAGCAGTGCTTGAGTATTTGAATTAGTTACATTTTTGATTTTCCTTCCAGTCACTGCTAGTGATTTCTTCTGATATTATCTTCAATGTTCTTGGCGTTATTACTGAAAGTAGAAATATGGTGTCAAAATCGAAAATACAAATGTTAAACAAAAACTTTTAAATATGCCTTTGTGTATTTATGTTTTCTGTACATTTACTTAAAATACAACTTTTCAACATTTTTTCTTTAGCATTAGTAGACTGTTATTTATGACATGTAGCCAGTCAGACAGCGCTGTGGGCCAGCTATTGCTTCACAAAAGACATAGTAAACACTACAGATAAAGAAGGGCAGCTGCATCAGACCCAAAGGAGTGCATATAAAAATATCTATCGCATATCTATTTTGTTTCAGTAAATTTCTCTCGAAGTTTTCGGGGTTTTCCCCCATAACACACATCTAATCGTAGTTTATTCGTCATTTAGTGTGTAGTCTGATGCATCCAGCCGTATTCGGGTGTTTGAAGTGTTGCCTCCCTCTGACTGAAAAAATGAGTGATGTGTAGGATCATTGTCTTATCGGTGTAGTAAATAAAGTAATAGTCAGCTCTGTTCAACCACAGTGATCAGTGATATTCTTACAGCACTGATTTGAACCTAATGACTGTAAGTAGATGACATGAAAAGGAAAAGAAACCAATAGCATCCTCTTCACCCTCATACTGGATTTATACATATATACAGTATATATTGAAAAGAGAAAACAATCAGGTCACCACTTGACTCCGCACCACTGTCAGTTCAGCTGTGTACTGCACTCTGCTACATGTGCTGCAGACAGTGTAAACCATGGGAATTGAGTTGCTCTGCTGGAAAAGCTATGTGATAAAAAAAACAAAAAAAACCCAACATTTTTTAAATTACCCCGAGGAGTTTATTCTACATTATGCTCTATAATAAAAAAGTTTTCATGTTTTCACTTATTACTTATTACTGATATATCTTTAATACGCTAAAATCAGCACATAATTATGTTCTATTATCCTCCTTTTGAAATATCTTTAAGTCATTATTTCAGATTTTTCACATTTATTAATAATTTTGTATTTGGATTGTTTTTTTTAAAAAAATGTCTGCCCTGTTGCAAGATTTTGAAATTTGGTTGAAATTCCACAAAATCCACTCCTTTTTTTGTACATCCGAGTCTTTAGCGTTCTCCTTGCTCATTTCTACGGATTCACTTTGCAATCTAGAAATGCTAAATTCCAAAGCATTGCATATACTGTGCATGTATAAACAGGCTGGTGCGTATGCATGTGGGTGCTGTGAGGAAATTGATTATAAGCTAAAGAGAAGCTGATTAGCACATGTTGACATTAACAGTGGAATCCATTACTGAAACCACACGTGGTTGGCCTTTGGCACAGATTTGTCAGTCAATATGTTGAATCACTGACAGCTAGATTTAGGCAGCAAGAGGTGGGGAAGGTGTGTATGAATGATGCTGTTTTATGACTATAATATGTTTAACACTGTCATTCGTCCATGCTAACCTGCTGTCATTGTTCCTTCTGGGACTGTAACATGTTTAATTTAGTGTAAAGACAGATGCATTCACAAGAAGCTCACTCACAGTAGATGTGTTCTGCCCCCAGCACACAGATGAACACATTCTCTTTCTCTTTCAGGTACAGTGATAAAGAAGCCACGTGCGTCAGTGCATACTGACGTTTGTTCACTGCGTCATCACTGTGTTACACCAGAAAAGATGAACAAAGAGCGATTGTCTCACTCCCTTTCCTTTCCTCTCACCTTGTCTTCCAGTCTTCGGGCACCAGTGTGGTGGTGGACATCGCAGTGATGGGTGAGGCGCACGGTTTGATCTCAGACCTGCTGGCAGATCCATCACTGCCTCCGAACACCTGCAGCTCTCTGAAGGCTGTCAGCAACCTCCTCAGCACCCAGATCAGCCTCCAGCCACTGCACCGACCTCGCATCCCAGCAGACACACACACCTGCTCGGACTCTGAGGACGGGCCGGAAAAGGTGGAGAGATTGGCCATTCCAAAGGTTAACGTTCGTCTTTCTTAAGAATTCTTGTTCATTCTTGCAGTAAAATCAGAATATATGGAGATATCAACTGGAAGTTTACTCACCAGCTGAAATTAAGGATGCACAGAATGGCCACAGTGCTGGTCTGTGAAGAAAATCAGTACTTGTGTCATTTGCAGCAGTGGTTCCCAACCTGAGGGTCAGGATCCCTCAAAGGACTCTCTGAAAAAACTGTGTTTGTTTTTTTAATTTATCTTATTTCAAACCAAAAATTTAAAACAAAAGTCAACATTTGATACACAAAATTAAAGTTTCAAAGTTCGAAAAGGGTTTTGGAAGAAGTTGAACACTTATATATACCAAAACCCTTATGACAATAATAACTTAAATATTGCCACTTTCACTGTGTCTCATCAGAATATGAAGCACATTACACAACACATATTGTAATACCTTCTCAAAATAAAATCATAATACACAATATACACAATGATAATACTCTCTCAGAATAAATCATAATGCACAATTACATTGATTTTAATAAGTCTCATTAATAGCAGCATATATTTTATTAATATCATCTTCTATTACTTGTTTAAATTTCCCTATTGTTTGACATGTTTTTTATGTTCTGACTGCAGCTGTTCCATAACTGAACCCCTCTTGCAGAGATACAATGAAGTTTAGTGTTTGTTCTTACAATTGTTTGGGCTTTCCTTTAATTATTGCAGTTAAGTACTGACGCAGTTTATCAGAGTTGTGGAGCCACAAAAGAATGTAAAGTGTAAAATCAACTCAGATGCAAGTATGTATAACTAAAATTCCCCTATACATTCTATGAACAACTTTTTTTGAGTATATAACAGGAAGGATGCATAATTGTAATTATGTTAGTTTTAATAATTTACAATTGTACTGTAGTGGACCAAAACAAGGTATGTCACTAAGTAATTTTTCCTTTTTATTCCAAAATAAAATGCTGCAGCAGTTAGAAAATATACACATATATTTCTGACATAGCAAAATCAGACGCATAAGTGTGCTCATAGAGACTAATTTCATTTAGTTTAGTGTGTGCTGCAGCAACACACTCAACCCAGGTGATGCCCAGGTGTTCCCCCTCCCCCTGCACACATCACCTCCCCCATTTCCTCCCTTGCTGCCGGCACAGTGCGGGCCTCTAATGTAGCTAACAATGACGCAAAAGCTTCCACGGGGCTTTTTAATGTTTTACAAGGCCAGCGCTTCAAAATGTATGCAGGCACTTAAGGCGGCAAGGAAACTAAATAAAGCGTGTGATGCAATGCAGGATAGCCTACCAGGAAAGTGACAAGCAGCTTTAACGCTGCCTGAGTGCACTCAAGCGCTCAAGCCATGTAGCGGAACTCAATGAGATGCTTCCTCATTTTTAGCTCATTGGGGATTTGTGAGTCTGCATGTGGCGGCTGGTAAAGTTGGTGATTCAGCTCACCTGTGTGGCTGTAAACCGAGGACAGGAATAGCGCTTACATAAAGGTAATCAGTAATGGTGGTGACTGAGGGCCATTCCTTAACTGAGAAACACTTGGAGTTTTTTTTTTTTGTTACAGGCTTTGGTACAATTTGTACCTTTTGCTTGTAGCAACTCTTTGGATTTGACTTGTCTTTTCTCAGTCTTTAACTGCCATAGTTCAGAGTATTTGATCAGTTTTCATCACATTCTACTACCTTTTGCTGCACAGATTTGCCTTTATATTATGTCTTTTTACTCTCACAGTTCCCAATCTTGTAAGATTAAAACTCTCAGACGGAAAAGTGAACATCACACCTATTATTTTTTGTCAACTCATTACTGTTGCATAATGATGCAGTGGAGATGTTTCACTTGAAACTGCAGTAGCACACAGTAATAAAACTCACGACAACAAATGCAGACATGACGTTCGCAGTGACTGTGTCCTCGTCCTGCCTCTATTTTACTCTCCTCCTCCTCCTCCTCCTCCTCCTCTGACTTTCTTTCACACTCTATTAGAGATCTTTGATTAGATTTCCCTCACTGTAGGAAAGAAGCATCACAAGACAGCCTGAGTGCATGTGTATGTGTGCGTTGGGTGTTTTTTGTGTATGTGTGCAGTGATCTTCCTGAGCACATACGTTTTTATTTTTTATTTTTTTAGAAGAAATCTGATCCTTTGCTGCCCTCTATATTCCACTGTGCATCTGTGTACAAATAAAATAAAAAAAAACTCATCTATCTAACCATTATCTACACACCGCTTAACCCTCACTAGGGTCATGGGGGGCTGGAGTCTATCCCAGCTGACTCAGGGTGAAGGCAGGGGACACCCTGGACAGGTCACCAGTCTATCACAGGGCTACACTTAGAGACAGACAACCAAGCACACTCACATTCACACCTACAGACAATTTAGAATCACCAATTAACCTCAACATGTTTTTGGACTGGAAGCCAGAGAATCCACGCTGCACGGGGAGAACATGCAAGCGCCATGCAGAAAGACCCCGGTGACCTTCCAGCTGCGAGGCAACGGTGCTAACCACCGAGCTACCTTGCAGCCCAAACTAAAACCCAGCAGTACAAAATTATAAGCTGACAGTTAACTGAGTTCCTCTCTTGGTTTTACAAGAAAATTTACAACACTGGATAGATTGTCAAGCATGTCTACTTAACATTCAGTCTCCTGTATGCTTTTTACAGAACAGCAATAGGCCTGAAATACAGATACGGCTCCAGTTTGATGTCTTTGCTTCTCCGATGGAGGAGAAAAATGTGCACAGCAGTTGCTCTGCAGATGTATATGTCCTTTTTTATTTGTTAAGACATACGCCTGAGGCTGAAACTTCAGGTTTTAACTTAAAATTAGAGCGAAATTTCTTCACAGAGCAAGTGTGACATTGATGCTCCGTTCAGTTGGCAGCACTTTTCTGTCTCTAGCTTGTGTCTAGTGTGAACTGTGTGTGACTTTTTGGATCGTTTTACTTTTTTCTATGCTCATGGAGTCAGTGTGATCCAAGCTTTCAAGCAGTCATTTTGGATAACCAATATCCAAATAGTAGCTGTGGCACGGTATGATTTAAATATGAGACAATGCTAGACGTTTTAAAGACAATATTGGGAAATGTGAAAGCAAATGAGAAATGCAGTCACATTAACACACTTCATTAATAAGTACTGCATTAATAATCTAAACCTTTTGAATAAGAAACTTATTACAAAACGTCCTACTGGGAAACAAACATTGTGATATTTATGAATAAGTCACTTGGGACTGTCTGGAAGTTGGTTGAACAATAATGATGCTCACCTTTGGTTGTATATTAGAACATAAGAGATATTCAGATGAGATTGAAAAGCTTATAAGAGTACAAATACATTTCCCACTATCCGATTTCTATTGCACACACTCGTCATAATAAACATTTGTCAGTTACAGACGAGAAAGAAATCATTTATACTGACTGTTCTTTTAAGTTTAGAGCATGAACAAGCCACACTGTGAGTAGCTCAACGTCTGTACGGCAACATTGAGGGACTTGGATTGCTGGGAAAGGCTGAATTCTGAAATTCTGAACTGTTTTTATCCACCGTTAGTCAAAGATTAACACAACTGAGACACTGTAAAGTCCACTTTACAATGTGTTTGGCAACATTTAATGACATAGCTCCATGTATCCACTAGTGCAGCCGTGTACTTTCGCCACAAGAGGTTATTTGTACCGCAGTTGTCACCCTTTCCAATTGATGTGTATGTTAGAATTTTAGCAAAGTAAAAAATTGAAGTATAATAATATTTGCAGAAGTTTCTATTACCAAATCCGCATAGCTACACGGGCATCTTTATATATTGGCATGCACAAAGTTTATTCTTGGGTCAATAAAAAAAAGAAAGTAAGAAAATTTGAATCTCAAGTTGTATGTCTACTTATCATGTTGCACAAACTGTACATATAGGCAGGGTTGTATCTTTGATGTTTCTGAATTGTGTCCAGTAAGATCTATTACAACTACTTTATTTAAAGTTCCTTCACTTGTAGGTTGTCTCTGAAGCATGAGCACACTGTTGGTGCTTCCCTGTGAAGCTCTTGTAAGTGGCTAAAAGTTTCTACGTTTGTCTGTGGTGCAGCGTCTCAGGCGGAGTTTGCCCCCAGGATTGCTGAGGAGAATTTCATCAACTTGGACCACAACCACCTCAGCTACGGGGCTGCCCACCATCGAGCCCGGCCCCGTACGCAGAGACCGCTCAGCCAGCATCAAACACACTCCAGACAGGTAACGCCACATCACTCAAAGACGTCTCAGAGTTCGTACCATTTCTTTATCTGACTTTCTTACCTTCACCCAGTGAATTGTGGGGCAACTCTGTGATGATGACCATCTCGAAGAGTCGCTCCATGTCCGCCTCCTGTGCTGCCTCTGTCACGTCCAACCACCTCTACAGCAAACCACTGGGAAGACCAGGTGTGTGTTTTGCAAATTTCCTAAGACACAAAGTAGTGTACATTGAGAACCTTACTTTCAGATGAGGGTGTTTACAATCTGAAACCATCTCTTTCAGGTTTCCCCCCCTCCAACATATCACCTCTGGGCTCTCCATGCCCGTCTCCTCCCGTCCAGGGCACGCCTGTCTCCAGCCCGACAATAAAGACTTGTTCAGTGCAGCTTCCTGAGCCGGCCGGGCCACTAACAGAGCGGGTACCCGGCGCTGTGGCCCCCAAGAGCCATCACAGAGCCTTAACTCACAGCCAGAGCGCCCCGAGCTCCACCACCACTCATTGGCGGCCTCCATCGCTTTGTGGCAGGTAACTGACACGCAGTCACGTGCCGGGTTAATTCTATTTCTCGCCAGTTTAATGAGCAAATCTAAATATAGAAAACTTAAACTCACAATTCATGTATGAGTGTTCATTTGTGTGAGAATGAGAGGAAATTAGTCACTTCATTAGTCTGCGCTGAGAGAGGAAAGTAGCTGGGTTAATTATCAGATGAAAGAGAATGATCAGGATGGACCAGTGCTTGTCCTCTGAATATGTTAGTGTTTCTCTGCTCTCCTTCTGGCAGCTGTGGCAGGCCGTTCAGCAGTCGATTAAACCACGGGGTAGAATCTGTCGACAAAGGAGACAGAATACCACATCCAGGTAACGTACAGCCTGCAAGCTTTTCTGCCTTTGTTTAGCTTTAAACTGACTCATCAACTTTAAGCAGGAAAACAAGAGTTTTGGAGAGACGATGCATTATTCATAGAGTCCAAAAAGTAATGAGGCCAAAGTGTTTGGTGTGGTAGAAGCATCTGTGCAGGAAACTGTAACAAAAGAAACTCTTTTGTGTGTACGTGTAATGTTTTTTCTCAGATGAGCGTGCAGTAGCTTCATCAGACTATGACAGCACCTACGACAGCACCTATGAGACCAACCACAGTGACAGCAGCGACTTTGCACAGAATGAAGAGGAGGGAGAAGGAGGCAAGAAGCCGCCTGAAGCGAGGGAAGGTTGCAGGGAGTTTCCAACAGATGGCATCGTTCTTCACCCTCTCCTGCCATCACCAGAGGTAGGCGATCAGACATGCTTGATTTTGCATCAAGGAAGCAAGTCATGAACTGAAGGAACCTTTTGGATTGGAGCTGAAACAGCTTCAAGAACCTAAAAGAGAAGCCATTTGTTTGTTTTTGTTTGTTTTTGTAACTAAAGCTCCTGGTATTATCATGATCTGGATGACTGAGAATCTACATGACAGGTCACGTGCTTCAAATTCTGCTTGATAAACAACTGGCACTTTCTCAAATGCCGTACAATACTTGCTCACTGTTGCTTACTGTTACTGTTCCTGCTGGTGCTTATCAGCTCCTCAAAAGTTAAAATAATTCAAGGTATTTTACTGTACTTGCAAGTATCTTTCCTCCGTATCTTTACCTGACAGGACAAGCCCATCTTGGCCTCAGAGGCCCCAGTAGTGCCAACGCTGGAGCCTCTGATGAGTCAGCTCGTCAGCTGGAACTTCCCAATTTTCAGTCTTGTGGAAAAGACTCATGGCAAAGCAGGCTGCATCCTCAGCCAGGTAAACACTGATTAGTGAGGAAATGTTGCAACCTGTATGATTTTATAAACATATCATGTTGATTCAATAAACAGGAACACATATTGAAAGAAGTGTCCATGTGAACGGTGTAATTAGCAGCTTAATGAGGTGGTGACATCAGATGTCATTGTAGGTAGAGGAAAGGGTAAATTTGTAACAACATTAACACAAGAAATCGAACGAAACAATCGGTGATATACGTAACTTTTTGGTATTTTTTGAATATATAAAACCTCTCGTAAGAACTGTGTGTTTGTACAGCAGGTTATAGTGTATAAATATTCTCACAGCAGTGAAACACATATCTGACAGGTAAGTTAGGTCCAACGGAGACACACCTGATAACATTTTTTACAATACAAGTATTTCTTTGAATCACAAAGAGATTCCCACCCCCAGATACTTAATTGCTAACATACATTGCTGCAAATTAAAGATATTAGTTCTGTCACAGGTCAGTGTTAAAATCATTCAAAAAGATTTCTTAATAGGCCTGGTTTCACAGACGATTGTGGTGATTATGTTGTTTATGTTGTCTTCCAGGTTTCTTATCGGCTCTTTGAGGACACGGGTCTGTTTGAGACCTTCAGGATTCCCGTACAAGAGTTCATGAACTATTTCCACGCTTTGGAGAACGGATACAGGGACATCCCTTGTGAGTAGAAGGTTCCACGTATTTATGTAAATTTAAATGTCTACATGTGGCATTACCTTTAGCTACCACAAGGTGGATGCATTGCTCATAAAATAAACATTTCACAGCAGGTGTTCTTTCTGCTGAAGAAGCGTGTGGCATATGTTTACTGTACAATTAGCAGGAATATTAATTGAGTGGCAATACTGGAAACATGTTGACACTGGGAGCTGATGGGTAGCATGAGCTTATGCTTTAATGTAAATGTTTGAGGCTAACACAATGCATGAAAATCTAAGAGTTCACATTTTGATGTGGCAGTTTTTCTTTTTCCAGATTATAACTCCCTTTACATTTGTGCAGCTTTAGATACATTTTACACACACACACACACACACACACACACATATATATATATCTACCAAAGAAAATGGAAGCACCCAAATGTCATTAGTAAAACAGAGCATTTGTAGGGAGGCAGTGATATAGACTAAATATCATCACTGCATTAAGAGTGCTATTACAAAGCTTGAAGGTTTTAAATGTTGGAGTTTTTTTGGGCCTTAATGAATTGGGTTTTTGCACCATCTTGTACAGATCTTGTATGTATCCCTTGTATGAAGGAAGGTCAGGTTTCAACAACTGATTGTGTAACAGTTTATAGTGGCTCCTAATCATATTTGCAGCAAGTACATTTTAGCTTTTCCCTTCTGGATGTACACCTAAACCTGACAACTTTCGGATCTTTAAGGACATTGTCATTCTTTAAGGGTCTCAAAATCCATCTAGTAATTCTTTAACATTGACATGCAGGAAATATGTGTGTGATTGTCAATTTGCAGCTCACATTTTTATCCAGTATTTGTTTGAGCTGCGAGCTGCAATGTGACGCAGTTGGTTAGCACTGTTGCCTCACAGCAAGAAGGTCGCAAGTTCATGTCCCGGTGGGGACACCGGGATCTTTCTGCATGGAGTTTGAATGTTCTCCCTGTGCAGCGTGGGTTCTCTCCGGGTTCTCCTGCTTCCTCCCACACAGTCCAAAAACATGCTGAGGTTAATTGGTGATTATAAATTGTCTGTAGGTGTGAATGTGAGTGTGCTTGGTTGTCTGTCTCTAAGTGTAGCCCTGTGATAGACTGGTGACCTGTCCAGGGTGTCTCCTGCCTTCACCCTGAGTCAGCTGGGATAGACTGAAAAATCTCTGCTAAGTGTCAAGTACCAAAGTATTATTCAAAAGTTTGAGCCTTAGATGCATTCTGCTCACTGCTTTGAACTGTTACAGTTACAATATGTCAATTTTAGGATAATAACAGCTGGATGGCATCGACCAATATCGGTTCCTTTCAGAAAAGTGCAGATGTGGTCCATATATACTCCACCGCCACCACTTTCCCATTTGCTTGTAGTCGTATCACCACAAGCTGATATAACTATTCAGATTCATAATGGGCTACTGTGATTTCTTTACTGTGGTCTTACTGCTGACACTTGTGTGAATTGGTGCTTTATTCTTTCTTCCCAGATCACAACCGAATCCATGCCACTGACGTGCTACATGCTGTCTGGTACCTCACCACTCAGCCTGTGCCGGGCCTGCCCACCCTGTTGACCGAGAACGGAATACACACTGGTACACACTCTTTATACTTACTGTACTTTATTATAATCAAACCCTGATGAAACAAAACCCCTACTTTTGGCGTCATTGTTACACTTTAATCTCAAACTAAAGTAGGTAAAAACATTGGTTGAACTCTATTGTTAACATGCTCTCGGAAAAAGTGTCACACACACTCATGGAAGAAGATTTTTTTTTAAAGCAAACACAAGCCAAGTCACACTTTAAACACACTGTCGCATGACAGACAATTAGGCATTCATCCAGTAGCTAAAAGTGCACACATAAACAGAGACATAAGCACGCTATACATTATGTATGCATATAGAACTGGCTGTCTTACCACCACAAGACAAACAGCTAAATAAGTATTAATGCATTCAGTCTTCCTTATGGGTCCTGACCCAGAACCAGCATTTACAACTTCAGTAAATGTCTCTTCTTGTGATCGACCTTCACTTGTGACTCTTCATATTCAATGAGTCACGAGTACAGTGTGATAGCAAACAATCATGCTGATCCTTTTTTTCCCTTCAGACTTCATGACTACATTTATTCTGATGCTGATGTTGGTTTGTCACTGCTGAGATATTGAACAGTGGGTGAAAACAGTGAAATTATTAACAGGTTCTACTTAATAAAAACAGTCTAATAACACAGTGTGTTTTATATTGGGTAACAAGAGGCAGCATTTCAGGCCTGAGTCACTGACAGTGAGTCTCTGTTGTCTTTCTGTTCACAGACTCAGAGAATGGTATTACACCTGGTGCCACAGGCTTCCTGGTGTCCAAGATGAACTCTGTGCTGGAAGAAGGCTACGGCTCCCTGGCTGGTCTAATCCCTGGCCTGGAGCTCATGGCTCTATATGTAGCTGCTGCCATGCACGACTATGACCACCCTGGAAGAACCAACGCCTTCCTAGTAGCTACCAGCGCACCGCAGGTAAACAAATGTAGCCGTGCTTCAGCAGCGCCGAAGGCCTGGGGAGGGGCTGGATCGACAGAGAGGTGGCCCTGATGGATAATGAGGTCCATTTATTGTAGGTTTCACAACAAACAAGGGCAGCTCCAACTGGGATTTCATGCACTTTCCACAAGCAAACACCAAGCTCAGAAATAGGGAAAGGTCATTAATAAAGTTCCAACCAGCAGAGTCCAGCTCAAGCTGCTGCTGCTTGTCCAACAGAACTGCTCCAATAATTGTGATGTATATTATCGAGTGAGCTAAATTCTACACCTGATATGAATTAGTAGGCCAAGACAGAAAGTTTGAGTTTATGCAGCAGCTAATTATTATTTTAAGCATGATAAGCAGCTCAGAATTGAATGACTTGAAGGGATGATTGTTGTGTATGAAATGCTCTGCATTACTGATAAGAAGCAATTTATTATTCCATGAATATGAGGCTAAAGGCTGTTGCATGTAGCAACAGTGTAAACATTTAGAACAGTTTAGATGTAGTAATATAATCATTATATAAAGAAGAGTAATGTAAGCTACAACATAAATCGTGTTTGCTTTCGCAAAGTTTATGAATAATCAAAAATGAGGCTACTTTTCCTGTGAGTTTAAGTATTAGTATAGAAACATACATATTAGTAGGAGCTTAAAGTGATCATAATGTAAATGCAAACCAACAACCAAAATATAAAGGGCTCAACCACTACAACAAAGCATTTCACAATTAGAAAAAGAAGAACTACAATAAAACGCTTTCTGTTTGGTCTGACCCTAACAACACCATGACACAATGAATACGTTTCCCATTCAATATTAATATTATTAATGATAAATAATTTTAATTCCACTCTCTCCTCTTGCATTACAGGCTCTTCTATACAATGACAGATCAGTCTTGGAAAACCATCACGCAGCTTCAGCTTGGAACCTCTTCATGTCTCGACCTGAGTATAACTTCCTGGTGAACCTTGAACATGTGGAGTTCAAGCGCTTCCGTTTCCTCGTCATTGAGGCTATTCTGGCCACTGACCTCAAAAAGCACTTTGACTTCCTCGCAGAGTTTAATGCAAAGGTAAACATCCACATCTGTTAATGATCCATCCAGCTGGAATTACTAACATGTCATTTCTTCTTCAATATGTTGTTGTGTTTCTGTAATACTTTTAGTGTAGATTGTCCTAAATACATGTTAACAGCCAATCTGTGGTGAATTTTATTTTTTACACATTTTCTTTTTACAAAAACATTTCTGTCTCCTCAGGTGGGTGATGAAGGAGTCTCTGGTATTGATTGGACCAATGAGAACGACCGGTTGCTGGTGTGCCAGATGTGTATAAAGCTAGCTGATGTCAACGGACCGCTGAAGTGTAAAGAGCTGCACCTGCAATGGACGGAGGGGATCGTCAATGAGTTCTACGAGCAGGTACGTCTATATAACTGTCTGCAGTCTAGAAGGAATAAATATGTTGGGCAGACCCTGAATTAAAAAAACAAACAAAAAAAACCCCATCAGTTTCCAAGTTAGAACAGTTTGGACCAGAAAACCCCCAAACAAAGATAGATGGGACTGTATTTAATACAGTATGAAATGAATTATACCAAATGAAAGGAGCGTGCAAGAACTTTACAAACAGAAGTGGAAAAAATAGTGTAAAAAAACGAAAAACTACCAAAAAAATGACATGAATGGTTACAAGTTATAATAGCGTATAATATAAATTACACAGTGTGCATTTGTGCAAGTTAGGAAATTGAAAGCCCCCCATACACTTGGCCTTCAATCAAAATGTATTTCTTCAAAGAGTAGGACTAAATAAGAAACATTAAGTTAAAAATAGATCATTAGTTATTCAATATTTATTAAATGTTTGGTCTGCAAATGTTTAGCTTATCTGTCTCATCAGTACTGTGTGAGTGTGGTTTGATTAAAATTGATTGAAAAATTTTGAAGCACATTTTGACTGAAATCAATCCTGGAGGCTGGTGCAGCGTTGCTGTGTGCCTCAAACCAAATAACTGTGCAAGACCAGCAAATTATTTGAAGGAAACTATCGTAATTTAAAATCCAGACTGTGCAGCACCCAAACTGCTTGAAGATCTGTGCTGATGTTTCCAATCGCAGTGTGCTGCAAATGCAGGCTGACACTGTGCATCACAAATGTTTTTGTTGTGCAGTAAATCAAACTAAGTGTGAGCATTTCCACACAAAAAGAGTTGAAAACACACTTCTTAGGTAAAGTAACAAACACTTGTTAAGAGGCTACAAGTGACAACAGTGGCTGTCTCACGAGATGTCAGCTGTGTTGGAATCATTAATAGCAGATCTAAGGTCAATTTTCTGTAATAAATTACATGGTTAGCACAGGATGAATAGTCACACTGCTTCCAAATCAGGTCAATGGCATTTAACTCTTGGGAAAAACTAGGAAATATCAAAATTATGGTTTGTTTAGAGCAAAATTATTGTACAAATACTATAATTATTGTACATAACATTTTTCAAACGAGTCAAACTAGTATGAGAAGCACCAGAACAACAGAAATAGCTTAAGTGAAACAACAAAACCTGTTCTGACTTTGGCAGAGAACAGTCTTTTCTTGTACACCCCCATTAGTCATAAAAGGAAGCTGAATAATCTCAGAATACATCATAATAAAAGCAGGTGCTATGAAGTTTTTAAAAAATAAATAAATATGACAGATAGGTGCATTTGAGTGTAGCTGAGCCACATCAACAGGGAGGTCAGAGGCCGCTGCATAGCAGCAGCTTTGCATATGATATGGATTTAATTCTTTGTTTATGGACCTTTCAGCAAAGGTTTATGAATGTAACCGCATGTTCCCTCTGAACAGAATATTCAAAACACTTACCTACTAGCTCATGAATTTGTTAGCGACCATGTGGATGGATGCCTGGCAACAAATCCTGCTCTGAACTAACAAGGCCATAATGATAAAATCTGATTATCCACAGAGATATGATTATTTGCCTAGCAACAACATTCTCAGTAGAATGGTGCTAATTTGACATTTGGTGGTATCTATGATATTCTGTCATCTCAGAATAAAATGTTTTTTTTACATTTGTACACAGATGCCCTGACTGTAACAGAAGATTGTATTCACAAAGTTCCTTAGTCATCATGAGAAAACTCAGTGTCAGCATATATTATATTTATTTAGTCCATTTTTCAATGAAGGGAATTTGTGCACCAAATGTCTGATCTGAACTCTGCTGATGGCTGAAGAAAGCAGCCTCCCTCTGATCTGTGTCTCATACGTAGCATTCTGCAGTTCCTGTCTGTTCAGTTCTCCTGATAGCTCTGAGAATCATGTTTGTCCTGAGCATACAGGGGTGAGCGAAGTGAGACAGAGTGGGTGAGAGACAGAGGGTGCGGATACAGTTTCCTTTTTTTCAGAGAGGAGACGGATGACCTAAATGTGCCATCCCTGGCAGCACTCATTCACAGTCACACAGAGGACGATCACAGATGGAAACAGAGCCAGCGCAGACGTAAACACACACACAAATGCATTTATGTCATGCTCTGCAATGCACCACTTTGATTTTCTAAACATTAGCAATATCCGCTTCTAACATTTTTTTTCTCTCTCAGATCACAGTGTGACAAAACAGACACACAAACACACCTCTCTCTCACTAAACCGCAAGTGCTGTGCACTGACGCCATCCAGGTTTCTGGTTGCCATAGCAATTGGAGCTCTTGCTCCTGTGTCCTCCTTGTGAATAGCTTTGAAATCCCTAGCATCAGAAAACAAACATGAAAGCGTCGTTGTAATATATGAAAGTAACACACAAGCTGTTGGGTTGTGGGTTGTGCAGCATAAAATACGACACAAATGGGGGTAATTTCAAGGTTGCTACCGTGGAATAAGGCATGCAATCAGCAAAATAAACCTAAATATCAGATTTCAGACATGTCGCACTTGCATGTCTGGGATACAACATGCATTAATCACTGCTCTGTTTTTGTGGATGAAAAAGCCTGACTGACAAGGACGAGGGAGGAACGAGACCCTAAGGGTCCACTTCAGCTTCTCCTTATCTGCTGTCCATTTACAGTAGATGCCAAGTATGATAACAATATATCCAATGCACTGTGTGGAGCCTGATGTGGTTGCTGCAGCCAGCATATGCATAGCTGGTGGTCAAAGATAATTAGTCACATTAATGTCTGTATTTACTGGCGGTGGCCTTGTGGGTACAAATATACCGATTAGTCACCATTACTGTGGCGAATCTTTACAGACAGCCTCCTTTGTGTGACTGAAATGTACAGATCAGCCATAGCTTGAATTGATGTTTTTCTATTTATGGTCCTCTTGACCTAATTTCAGGAGACTGTACCCAGAGGCAGCGTATCTGTGCCTGTGAACTGTACAGAAGAATAACTGCGCAGCCGAGATCATACCATTTCGGTGACGCAGAATTTACCAATATGCGCCGAAAAGGTTTTAAGATGTAAATATTGATAGATTTAATATGTAATTTCATTTGTATAATATTTTCTTGAAAGTTAAAAAAAATAATAATCTAACCAAATTTGTATCATGTACATTCATATTAGAGTTGATAGTAAATTTAATTGAATCTCTACTTTACTCTGTGCTGATTTCAAGACAGTTTAAATTCAATATCTCATGAATTCACAAATGAAAAACTTAGTCTGAAACGACTGCAGGATGCAGTTCAAGCCAAAAGCATTTTTTGTCCAAGGAAAATGTTTTCTGTCTTCCTAAATCCCATCCCTATATAATATATAAATGTTTAAGTTTCCAGTGCATTTATATTTCATCATCCCTGAGCCTCCTACATATTTACCATGTTTGCACCCCTCTAGGGTGATGAAGAAGCGAGCCTGGGCCTTCCCATCAGCCCATTCATGGACCGTTCCGCTCCGCAGCTCGCTAAACTACAGGAGTCATTCATCACTCACATAGTGGGACCACTGTGCTCCTCCTACGACTCCGCCGCCCTGATGCCGGGACGCTGGGTCGACCCGCCTGAGGGAGAGCTGGAGCCAGAAGTGGACAAGGCAGGACAAGACACAGAGGAGGAAGAGGAGGATCTGGCGGATGAGGATGCGTCAACAAGTTCTGACAACTCCCGTATGTCGACCTCTTAATTATTCATGTTGTAGGAAACATCTCACTTATTATTTTGTGTGGTCAGTAATGATGAGCCTCAGCGAGCATTTAGTCTGACAACATCACTGACAACTGAGATTAGTGTTTTGTTGCTCAGTGGAATCTGGTGAGATCTGACTGACAGTTTCTAAGAAAAACACACTGATAATGTGGAAACAGCCTTTCGTTTTTATGGACTGGTGATTTTTAGATGGTTTTTGTTTTGCTCCATTTATTGGAAACACATTGTAGCACTGGACTTACTTCCCACAACCATGATGTATTTCTAAATAATACCAGCAAAGATTGCAACAATGAAAACAGCACTGACTTTTACATAAACTACAAATTTAATGAATGGCCCATATGATTAAATAGTTGAAATTTTGGGAATATTGGCAGTACAGTTGGTAGTCAGTTGTTGCTCGCCATTAATACAATTCATGAGAGCAAAAAGAAGCACTTTCACAATGTGATAATCCTTTGCTAAAGGTTTGGCTAGGTTAGCAAGAAGGGAAGATCTGAATGAATACCTCCTCAAGATTAAAGGAACTTTTTTTTCATAGTTAAAATAATAAACACACAGTTAAAGTTATAGGGTCAATAAAAGAATCAACATTCAATATCAGTTAGACCACCAGAAAATGAGCAGCAAGTCTGGTCTTGCCGACCCATCCATCCACCCCGACCTCCTCCCTACGCTGATTTGGTGGCTGTACAACAACAGCACCAGACTTCCTCCTTGTGCTAATTACCACAACTTCTAGAGGACTTGTGACTGTAGTGGAAACCACAACATTTAGCTTTTCAAACTAATTCCCCATTAATTGTTGAGTTTTAGAGGTGCTTGTAGATTTTTTCTTTACTACGAACTGAGCCACATTAGCTGTTTCTCCGTTTTCTTCTACCAAGCTATGTATGACAGTGGTATCAATCCGCTTGCCTAACTGTTGGGTTTGTGTCCCGCAGAGCGTCGAGAAACCAAAAAGGTAAGCAGGAGGAAAGTGTTTTGCCAGATCACACAGCATCTGCTGGAAAACCATGAAATGTGGAAAAGAGTGATTGGTGCAGAAGCCCCGGAGGAGGCCCAGGAAGAGAACCCGAACTGCATCAGCAACCCCACCGACCCAATCACAGCCATTCACGAGGAAGAGGAGGAGCAGGCAAGCAAAGAGGAGGAGTTGACTGATGACCTCGATGAAAGGGAAGAGGTACCGGCTATCGAGGAAGAGGAAATCCTTCCCCAATCAGAGACTTCAGGAGAAAAAGAGGAAGAGCCAGAGTGATACTATGAACTTTGACCTTCTCGTAAGCCAGGAATCTGAACGTTGTCTAAAAAAAAAAAAAATCTTTGTTTCTTTCCTAACTAAACTCTTGATATGGTAGCCAGCACATCACTTTGACACAACACTGTAGAAGATGTTTTGGGTAAAATGTGCCTAACAAAAACAGGGTTGAGGACAGGGATGAAGCATACCCAGTGCATCTGACAAGAAGAGAGGTGAGATCAGCTAAAGATTAAGTGACAAAAGGGGAAAGAAGAAGAAGCTGAAAAAGAAAATGAATATGAGCTGTATTTGTTTATGTTTTAGTATTTTTTTTAGTCTGGATCGGACGACCTGCACCACACCCAGACTGCCCATCCTGCACTTTGGGTCAACCGCCCTGATTCACAAAGTTCACTCCACCTGAGAGTAAAACACTGTCACAGCGCCCCCCCCCCACCTTTACTCTTCTTGTTGCTCCCATGATATCAACACACTGTGGAGCCGCCCAGCTGGTTGAGGATGTGCAACAAGCCCCTTCTCCTTGAAGACAATGGGATGAAAGACAGGGAAAAAGCTGTGTCCACTGAGTGTATTTCAGAAGGAGGTTGAAAAAAAAAAAAAAAAGAGTCAGAGGTAGTGCATTGTGTACAGAGACACACACCCACACAAGCTGCACACACAAACACACACACACACACACACATTGCTGTAACAGACACACATTCCTCGCTCGCAACAGAAAGGAAGTTTCACAAAGAACCCTAATGCTCTAAAAGCTTTTTTTTCTCAAGGAAAAACATACAAAACAATGTTTTGTTCATATCAAACAATGTTAGTCAGCGGTCATTTTCTCCCTGTCTTTTATTAGTCGGTTCAGCACACTTACATGTTTCCAGACTGCACAACTCAGGAAGGCAGAAACCCGTAGAGAAACAGAAACAAAAAGGACTTCCAGCGTCCGTTTTCCTTTTACTCGCTGCTGCTTCTCGTTCCCCTTCAAAAAGGAACCACAAGGGAAACAACACACGCTAACGTTAGTCACTTTAAAACTAACTTACGAGACACAAAACTAGGTAATAAGGTAATGTGTTTTGTTAAGTAAATATCATTTGTGTCCATATTTTATGTCACTTTTTAGCTTGTTCACAGTAAATGCAGTCGCTAATGATGGGATTTTTTTTCTTTCTTTCTTTCCAAAATAATTTATAGGCTGGTATGTAGGCCAAATGTTTCAGAAAGTAAAGTAATCCAGTAAGCCATAGTGAACCTGGCCAGAGCTGAGTCACAGCTCCAAATCACCCAAGAAGATTTACGTTAATAAGACGTTACTACCCTGTGAAGGCTGCTGCCATCCAGGAGGTGCTGTGTGTCCACAAGAGAGCAAAGACTGTGAGTCTTTCATCATAAAGGCAATGAAAGTAATATGGAAATAATAATGTTAGCCATTTGTGAGTCATGGAACCAAGCATACTTTAAAACACAGAAAAAGAGCCACAGCGGGATAAATGCATCATGTTAAACAATAAATTGTGTTAAATGAAGTACAGCAAACTTAAGCATTAATGGAGTGCAGCTTCCATAGTCTCAAATGCTGCTATGATATTGTCAAGGCATTTTAAATACTCAGTCCTCAATATCCAATAGAAAAGGCAGAATGAGTGATGTGAGCATTTTACACACCACAGATACGCAGAGAAATGCATCAACAAAAGCTATCATTCAATATAATGTCTACATTCTGCACATTGTTTGCCAAAAGTGCAACAGAGCAAGCAAAAGTTATAAGAATTTCCTATCATGGGCCAGGAGACTCAAGTTTTTGTTTTTTTTTTTCCTCCATTTGTAGTCCTTGACATTACATATGGCTTAGCAGGTCTCCTTTGATGTCCTGAGAGATTCATATTGGTGGTGATGGAGGAAAGTGTGAGCAGGGAGAACAGCCTCAGTAATGAGGCTTAGTAATGAAAGAGGAAGGCGCTTATGAAGGGGTCAGAGGGGTGTCAGATCTTTTTTACATTTCAGCAAAGTCTTCCAGATGTAACTCTTTGAAGATGAGCCAGCTCGGTCGCATTCGAAACCATGTGATGATCTACGTTTCCAAGTTTGCAAAACGTATTACAGGGATATGCAGTACAGTATATTTGATCTGACATCAGAAAAGCAACAGGGGGCCTTTGTAGACTTGGATCCAGGGATTGAAGGGTACTCAGTGTCTTCACTTACTTATCTGTAACAGGTACTTTTGATCAGATTTGCAAAGTGAAGAGGGGCATATTTTAATACAACTGAAACACGTTCCAGCACGCTGACAGCACTTTTTGGACAAGGTGCCCGAGACTGGCTCAAGAGGTGAGGTAGACTAACAAAGGTAAAGCAGAGTGGGATGTGGTTATATATGCAGTGGTATATATTAAAGAAGGGCACTCAAACTGCGATTCCGCTTCAGCTTTATCTAGAAGGTATTGACTTTTTAACTCTATAGTTGCAAATAGTTTAAATAATTAGCTGAGGTGCATACAAGATGTCACAAAATGTCCTTAAGTATGGATCATTTGACGTGGGTGAGGATTGATCACTCTAACATGACCAAGGAAGGCAGGGAAACAGTGACAATTAAATTAAAAGAGCAACATAAGACAGAAACACAAACATCTACGAGGAATACACTTTATGGAAACAGTTCATTATTCACATACGCTGGATGAAAACAGACTAAGCAATCTATTAAATAGACTTGTTTGCTTATTTTTACTGGCTGAACTTGCCCTAATACTGTCGTAATACTGTCTAAATCCTCAGCTGTATCCATTGCACTGTTATCAAAATGCCCATTGTGCAAATGAGGGCTAAACTGTGCAGCATAATGCGCTTGATTGCTTATTCCCTGTTCTTACAAAAGGAGTGCAGCTTGTTTTTAACGCTACGAAAAAGGAAACCTGCGCTAACCAAAGTCTGTCTCCGTTCAAGTAGAGAGCTCTGAACGTCTGATGTCCATTTTAATGTCACAAATGATCCACAATGAGGAGAGCTATTGTTGCTTGGCAACAGTAAAAATATGAAACGGCTAAATGACATCTGACCCTAGAAACAACACGTGTCTTACCTGCCAGCACAAATGGCAGCAGTGCATTTGTAGCATACGGAGCACGACATGCTTGGATTTACAGGTTCCCTCCTTGACAAATTGTCTTCCAATAGCTTTTTTTTTCTTGCATTGGCTTGTGATGATAAGCCCGCAAAATGATCTGTAAACACCAGCTGATATACGACTGATCTACGCAGCTGTGGGTCAAGGCATCGACTGGGGTCTTTTAGTTGAACATTTTCAAACCTCTGTACAGCAATGAACTTTTGAAATCAAGTTATTCTACTAATAACCACCTGATTGGGGAAAAAAAAAAAAAAAAAAAAAGCTCTTCAAGCCTCCTGTCTCACGTAAACAGCAGGAATTTGAATACACACGAATGAGCTTGAGCTCCATGCACTGTAAATACCCTACGCACTATACAGTATATCAATACCTCACTTACAATCTAATGTGCATACTATTACAATGGACTTTTTATGTCTCACACTTGTACTATCCCATGTTCCACCTCTGTGTTTGGCAATTTGTTTAAGATTTTTTTCAGATTCCCTTCACTTTTTTTTGTTTTGTTTTGTTTTCTTTTTTTTGGCCTGCACGATCTGAGAAGCTCACCAGGGATCAAGTCAGTCAAAACAGACGCTTCCCTCCTCTCTCGGCCCTGCCTCACTAACTGTGTACACTACAGTGCAGCAATCAAAGAGACTTGAATTAATCAAAGCTGTGATAGAATACTGAGTTTCTGTTCTCATCGCAAACAATCCGAAACACTAGGAAGTGCTAGTGCGTAGCCTTTTAGGGGGTTTTCAGTCACCTGGAGGGGAGTGTTCAAGTGGTCACTCAGTTTTTTGAAAGAACAGGTTTCAAGTCTTTTAGCAGTTATCAAGGAGTTTTGCATTTTTTAATTTTAGCGTTTTAATTACAATCCGTATTCTTAGCATAGTTGCTAAACATTTTTAAATCAGTTTCAGGAGTATTTTTCCTGCATCTCTGCATGGTTTCTCTTTATTTCTGCACAGTATGAATATTTATTAGCAGTGAGTTCTAAAATGTATCCAAGTGAACAAGAAATTTGCATAATTTGGCCTTTTTTTTAATTTTTTTTTTGCTATTGTTACATGTATTATGTAGTATAATTGGAAACTGATTTGAAAGCTACACTTAAGGCAGATTTAATGTTCACTGGGATGGATTATGTACTTTAAATAAAGTTGTGCGTGAATAATTGGAACACATCGAGTGCCAGGAAATAAATACGAAATACATCCAGATTTGTAAAACACAGCTGCATTGTTTTGCAAGACGATTACTTGTGATGTAAAGTATACAGTATACGCTAATTAATTTGTAGTAAATGGGCCAATACATGGAAAACCACTGGTATAGTCCCATAGATTCCTTTTTAACTCTAAATACCATAGACTAGATTAAGATTCTTGACTGCCACAACATAAAAGTTCATGTCATCTGTTGGCTTTTTTGGTCTTGGTCATCATGGCGACACTGGCCAATGGTTTGTACCAGGGCATTCACAATTCTGCTTTCTCTTGATTTACAAAGTGTTCTTATTTTAAAAAAAAACCAAAAACCAAAAAAAAACTTGGCGACAAAACAACACAAGCGCAGGGTCTACAACTAACAACCAAACTATTTCAGATCATCAAAGCCAGTACAAGTGGTTTCTTTTAATTAACGAGAAGAAGGGGATTGCTGCACACTGGATTAACTTGTGCAAACCAAAGAAACTTTTTGAACTTTGTGTTTTTTTGTGATTTGCACAAAATGAGCCCTAAAAGGAGCATGTTTTGTTTTGGTTTGGGTTTTTTTTTTGTCAGTGTTATTATATCTGATATCTGGATATGCATATATTTTTGCTCTCATGTGAAAATAAGACAGATTTTTTTTTTTTAAAATTGAAGAGTTATCAGCATTCATGTAACAGGCAGCAGCTCGTGGTGTTGTCTTTACGGTCTGTTATTCTTTCACTGCCATGTCAATATGCACCAGTAGCACTACAATGTAACTGACCAACTGTTCTGTTCTCAGACTGACGCCCATGTACTTTCTTTTTGATGGTTTGAACCAAAAACATTTCTGTTTTGTATTGTTTGTTGTTTCAGTCATTTCTAAAAGGGGCCAGGCTCCTGTGCCATACCATTGTCACATGTATGTATGTATACATTGTTTGAATGCTATATTCTCTGCTTTCCTTGTTTGTCACAAAGGAAACCAAAACAAACTTTTTTGTTCACCACCTTTAAAGCAAGACAAACAAGATGTTTTTTTGTTTTTTTTAAAAATCTAATATAGCAGGCGCTTCACAGACTCAGTTCTTTTCTTCTCTCCAATATCTTGCACTTAACACATGTAGCAATACCTACAGGATGGGGAAATTGTGTGATTCACCAGTATTTGTTTAAGTGGAATATGACATTTTATTTCTAGATATTGTTTGACTTTGTATAAAAAAAATATATACTGTACAGATTTAAAAGTATATTATGACAAAACAACTTTTAGAAAAATATTTATTTTTACTGTTTTGTAATCTAGACACAATACTGTAGCTCCTCTATTGCCAGACTTACTGGAAGTGCCTCGATAATGTATTACAAAGTAACTATACAATATATTGGGATTATTAGAACCTGTCACTAGCAGAGCAGTGTTGATGTTGTAATGTGAATATTGTTGAATAATAAGATTTATAAATGCTGCACATGGGTCCGTCTTATTCTTTAGCCATTTCTTTAGCATTTCATGGGATGAATCTCACATTGAGTTTACTGTATTTCAAACTTTTTTTAAATCACCAAGTTCAAATTGAACATGGGTAAGACTGTAAAGTATCACTCTGACTTTACACGGGTTTCAGATGCTAAAATGTATCAGCAAAAATAAATCCTTTTGGTCCATAATTAGTCAATCTGACATATTATAGTCAAGAAACCTAAAGCCCAACATCTATTATCAGTTACTTATAATGCCGTCTTGAGGTTCCTCCCCAGAAAGTGTCACCACTATTAACATCTTGAGTCATCCTGCAACTGGCAATTTCACAGTCATTCCCACCAGGTAGAACTGATAAAGCCTCATGGAAAGAAGGTGAAACCTCTTCAAGAACCAAAGAAAAAAAAAAAAAGTTCATTTGCATTCTGCTTGAGTTCGTAGGGTTTACACAGAAGCATAGTCTTGCAATCCACACTACAGTACTGCTGTTCCACACACAGAGCAGTGAGTGTGCACAAAAACAGACCATTTATTGTGTCGACCGTCTTAATCAAATTCTTAGTTGCAACGCATTGACAAACAATCAAATTAATACACTTAATACGCATGGGCAATTAATAATCTCTAGTTTAATGGGGTTGCACTTCACTGGAACGTGAGAGAAAAGCCTCAACACACAAAGCATGTAAACTTCCTGAACCTACTGCTGCCACCGGTTTGCGTTTCTGACTGTGAGTCGTACGTTTTTCATTACATGCTGAGTTTGAAGAGGAAAGGCAGGCCGAGAACCACGAAGGATTGTGTACCACATGTCTGAGTGGAATACAGCACTCCTGCAATATGGCGAAGTCATTACAGTTGCATAAGTCATCATTATTACCAACTATTTGTTGGTGTTATTGACTCAAATGTGCCACTGTTGGCTATTGCCATGTTTACTACATTCCTTCCCATAATTCACTAAGCACTAATTAATTATAATGCTTTTCTGTTTAGATCTGACTCTGACCTAAAAGAACCTACAAGAGAACTCCTTAAATAACTCGTATAAGTCCGACACAGGACTTTCACCCAGGAGAAAGTGTTTGTGTCGCATGTGGGAGAGTCTTGTTTTCCCACTGTTTGGTTAGGCTTAGGCACCAAAACCACTAAGTTAGTTTTAGAAAAATATCAGACTTTAGGTTAAAATTCACCCTTTTAGAAGGTTTTTGAAACTTCTCCTGCATTTTCTGGGTTACTATGGTGATGAGTCCCATCCTGTCTCATACATGATTGTTTGGCTAAAAGGGACAGTTGGAAAGCAATACAAATACTGGCAAATCTAAGGCAGTTAAAACCTATTTGTGATATGTAACAAACAAAAGTAATATCGGTGTGTGCCACAAAACACAACTGAGAATGCAGTTAGTCGAATAGGAATGTAAGTTTTGGGAGACGGGATTTGGTCCACCGCTTCATACACTTTCAAACCTTTAGTCTTCAGCCTCAGTTGTTGCTTCCAAAAGCGATGTCAGGAGGCAGCTCATCGGTTCCTGCACAGCTCCCTCTGGAGCCACAAAAGCCTTTATGCTATTTATTTTTTTCACATGTATAGTAGTACTCTACAAGACCTACACAACTACACACATGCACAAAGATGATTTTAATGTAAAGGGCTCTTGTTTTCAATTAGTTATAATGGCCTTGTCAAAAAAAACAATCATTTAATTTTTATTCATGCCTGTTGATGGGGACAGACGGGAATCCAACATCTATTTCCCATGTTGAACTGAAACAGCAGGTGGATGCATTTTGATGATGTTTAGCATATCCTGCAAAGTATTTTACCACATATTATACAGCTTGACACTTAACCAGACACAGTATTCATCATTGTTTCAAGAGATTTCCTTTCTGTGACATTCTGAGTAACTTGGATATGTTGATGAATCTGGATGGAAGAGGAGGATGGAGGAAACGTTTACTCACGTCTTTGCTGACATTAGTTTTCATGTGTGCGTGCAATGTCTGCTGGAACTCTTTGTCTTTATTGACTTTCTCTTGGAAAAAGCATCAAATTAATCATTTGAGAGTTTGGTAGTAGTCTGTCTAAAGTAATTCCAGGTGGAGGATTTGATAAATTGACTGTCTGCTCTGTCTAGTATAGATCGAAGATAATCCCTTTAGTAATCTTGTTTTTACTGAAGCTGCTTTCTCTTTGAAGATCGATTTTGCGTCAACATGCGAAATTCACCATTGAGTGTATTAAATATCACGAGGCAGAGGGAGGTTATTTAGCACAGAATTCATACTCTGACAGACATTTGAGCCTTGATCTTTGGCAAGTTCAGTTTTAATGTTTTTTGCACACGTCTGTCGGATTACTTTTCTCTCTGGATATATAATTGAAAATTCTGCTAGGACCACATGTATATACTCCAGGGAGGCGCTTGCCTTTTTTTTCCATCCCTTCCCTTTTTGTCCTTTTACTTTGAGACATTACTGGTCATTCAGTGCTCTTTCATGATCTTTTCCTCCCTTCTACCTTCCCGTCCATGTCTATCTCAGATCTTCACCTCCTTTCTCTCTTCTTCATAGGTCTAACTTTGGGACCTCTGTGGATAATGACCATGTGTGAGAAACAAATCACAGGAGGAGGGACTTCTGTGATTTGTGGACCAGTACTTGGACCAACACCATTTGTCACCGCTGCACTTAGATCAAAATGTCCACTGCAGAAGAGTCACACTCCCACTGCGGTTTTTAATTTGCCTCTCAAAGACTATTTCTACACCGACTACATTTTTAAAGAAAGCTTCCTTTTCTCTCCATTTCTATCCTCTTTAATCGGAGCTGTCTTTTGCCACAAACAAGCTAAAACTACATAATACAAACACACACCTCCAAACCTCACACCTCTCCATCCACCTGTGCACAATGTACTTTGCACTAAAATACCAATGTGTAAAGCAAATTTCCAAGTGAGGAAACTACCAAGCTGTCAGACACGCTAAAAAAAAAAAAAAAATCAGCTGTCACTGTTTGTAAATTACTTTTCTTGCTCATTTTTGCTTGTACGCCAGAAACCAACAAAAGACGATTATGACTTCTGTTCTGTCATGAAATGGGACACATAATATACCTTAACAGGTTCAACAAGGCCTCATCAATGATAAAAACAAATAAAATTGACAATTCTAAATTAGATCTGATAAAAATCAAACCAAATATCTAAAGCACAATTACTTTTTTAATATCATGGCCTGTATAATGCAATAGAGTTTAGTGACATATTTTAACAATGACCAGCATTATATAATAATATGTCCCTGAATTTCTTTGTGATATTTTGATGCTCAGTTCAGTGTGAGTGCACATGTGAAAGGAGAGATGCACATTGATGGCTAGTTCATTCAACTGAAGCACTGCATACTGAGCACTTTGTGGAAAATGAGTATTGGATTGTAGAAGCCATGTATGTTTCTGGTGTGAGTTTACTCCACTGCCACTGTGGAACCAACCAGCACAAACTAAATACTCACAGCAATTAGTTTAAAATGTAAACCATCACATTTTATTAAGCACTCTCCAGACTTTAACTTGGCCTCAAAAACACCTGTACATATGGTTAAAGCAGGAGTGCTGGTATTCATTGACTGTATATCTTGTCCACAGCTGCTTATACTGTATGAACAACATCTGTATCATTAAATACCTGCAGCCATCTGAAGGAAACAGGACACATGTTAATACATCTGCAACCTTAGATTGCGGATTCAGAGCACAGTGCCACAATGCACATCAAGCTGCTCCAGAATACCCACACACATGCCAACGCACATCAAACTGAATGTTTAGAATGGAGTAATCTGCCTGTAGTTAGGTTGAAAACATTTAGATGTTAGATTAGATTAGATTAGATTTTAAAGTGCAAAAGCAGCAGTAAAGTGGATTATATCCAGTATGGGTATAAACCTGGTACAAACAGCTACTTAGATTATCAAGTGATTGATGTGATGTGCAAAGGAAAACGTTTATTTCACGACTATCATATGATTCCTTCAATGAGCTGTAATCCACATCCTGTTACTTATAGACCAAAGCCACGGTCACAATATGGATTTTCACAAAATAATTTCAACAGCAATTGTTCAAACTGCAGTGAGCCTCTCTGAGTTGTGCATAATTGCAACTCCATCTGACATGGAGTATTGCTTGCAAAAATTCCATTACTGCCATTATTTTTTTCTTTTGCACATCAAGTCACACAATCAAACACACTTTTATTTAAAGTTACCTGTTGGTTATACATTTCTGTAAATGTGGTTAGGGTTCTTACGTATTCTTAACACCGATTCATTAATTTTACCGCTGTGGATACACTCCAAACGAGACCAGTTATGCTTATGAGCTTTTCTTTATCAACTCTTCAGTAAGTTTATTTTTGAATTACAAAATCAGTGACAGAGTTTACACTTTACAACTCTAATATTGTACCATACAGTCGTCTAACCTCGCCTACTTACTGCTCTCTTTCACTGTCCATGCTTTTATATGTCTCTATCGCATGTTATCATCTTTGTGTCTTTTATTTTATTTTAGTTTGTGCTTTTTCCTTTCTGTCTTCTCCTCTTGTATCTTTCTTTCTGGCTCTGGATCTGCTTGTTTCTGATCTGCGGTTGCTGATTCCACAAAGGGTTTTTTGTATGTTGTTTCTTATTGCCCCTTTTTTTTTTTATCTCCCTGCGGTCACCAACTCCTTGCTTAAGGGGAAATTGTTTGGTCTTTCCCTATAATATTGTAAGACTTTGACCAAAGTACTTATGTAATGATTTGGTGCCATGTAAAGAAACTGAATTGAATTGAACTGACTGGAAAATGAAGATGTGTCTGAAATCACACCCTGATTCACTCATTCACAGCTTCTTACAAAAAGGTCACTCAGTACAGTTCTTTGCTTGACAACGGTCATTCCAGCCCCTATAAAAAAGGGGGAGAACTGCTTTATGGGCTTGGTAGCAGAAAGCTTTGAACATGCCACAGACACTGCTTCTTTTGCTCTAAGGGCTTAACATTCTGGATAAATTTATACACTCAGAACCTCGACACACAAATAAAATGCCGCAGTTAATGTAAAGCACTTTACTATACTGTCATGAAAAGAAAGTGATTTTAGACACAGCATGTGTCTTTTCTGCATCCTCGCAAGATCAGCTGGAAACAAACAGTGGCCAACTGCTTATTTACGTCAACATTTTTAGTCATCTGAAAGGGCAAGCATGAAATTCTTGAAAAAAAAAAGGCCTTTATCTCTTCGACACAGCAAATTTACACAACAAAATCTGCTTTTGTCAAACCTAGAACGTTATGTTCTGCTCCATTTATGGGTAATTACTAAAAACATTTTATTTATTTTTTTTTTTTTAAAATCACACATGATGACTTGATGTTTTCATGTTGTGCTGTAATCTTTACAAATGTCGTAATTAAATAAAAACAAGCTAAACACCAGATTCCTACACAGGACAGACACAACCGAGCTTAAGAAGACTGGTTATGACTTTGCAGAATCGTCTCTGTAGCCTGAAACAGCTAGTCTTCATGGCTCAGTGAATAAGTGAACAATCACACCTGACCGAAAGGAGGGAAGTGCTGTCCAGAAACTGCACAAGACTACTCAACCGAGTCGACTACCTGTTGCAACGCGCTAGTTAGATGTAGTCTAGCGCTCAGTTAAAGGGTTCTAAAGAAGTTTCCAGAGGTTCTGAGGGCAAAGACTCAAAGACAAGACAGCGTGTCTGTGTGCTTTTTGTATGTGCATCATGTGACAGTCTTGAAATACCAGCACTAACAGGTGCAACGTGGCAGGGCAGGTGCCAAGGTATGGAATAGCAGAAATATGCTACCAGTCACCTTTTGTTTTTACATCAATCTGTCATCCTGCACACAGAGGTTAAGGCATACACTGCTGTCAAACCTTATTATGATCAGTCCACCTCAAAGGGAGAGAGTCACGACACAGCTACACAACATGAAGCAGATTCTCAGTGAACATGCTGACACATTGAACCAAACTGTGAAAAAAATGACACTTTTCATATTTATTTTTGTTTAACTGCGCTGCATTCATTTTGTTTGAAAGTGCTTCCTTTGCAAACGGTGAATATTTAACGTCAGGTTTGTACTGCAGATGGTAACCAGTGTGAGTAACACTTGTCATTTTGGCAAGTGGAAGAAAACTGATCCACATTGCTCCAAGCTTTACTCCCACAAGTCCCAAATGCCAGCTCGGATAAATGGATTTCTGAATTTGAAAGTACCATGAAGCACCTCTACTACAGTAAAATATTAAATTCATGTAAAACTAACAACAACCCTTAATGCTATGACCTCATCATATGCCTTTTCTAAATCTGGATTGTGAGTGTATGTTCTACGACAGAAAGTAAGAAGTAAACAGGACTTTTATGAGAGTGTGCTGACCTGAGAGTAGAAGCCAACATAAAAACAAGAAGTCAGATTTTTGAACATATCACACACACACACACACACACACACACAGAGCAAATATTGTGGCAGTTATCCAAATCACGGGAAACAGGGCTCATTACAAAATGTTGACCATGAAGGGAATCCACAGCTGAAGCATCCAATTTTGTAAATCGAATCAAAGATGAGAGCACAGCTATGACACAAATATCCCTTTAAATATTCTGATCCTTTGGTTTGATGTAATGAGTGTTATTTTATTTGCTCTGGGAGTTGTGTCTTATATTATGCCTCATGTAATCCTTAATGTGGAGCACTTTGCAACTTTTGTTTTGATGAATGCTGCACACATAAATATGCCACTATGAGTCCATGCTTTCCAATAACAGTGTTGTGCTGCTGATGAATAACATCATGTCCTGTAACAGCTTGTTGACGAAGCCACGACACTGTAAATGTTACACGATTCCAATAAAGCTCAGTTGAATTGTGCAGAAATTGAGGAGGAGGAGGAGGAGGAGGAGGAGGAGGGGCAGGCGGTCTGGGGAGAGAGACAGAGAGGGAGAGAGAGAGAGAGAGAGAGAAAGAGAGGAGCTGCAGATTAACACACCCTCCTTTCTGTGAGTGCACGTTGTACCGAAAGTCTGTCCGAGAAGCAGGAGGCTGCTGGGGTCACCGCCGGAGCGCATCTGAACGCGCCACATCTCCAAAGCCGCGACGCACGGAGCCGCCGAGGACATGTGTCACAAGACCAAAGATCCCTCTGTGATTCGGACCAGTGTGTCCGAGAGTGAGCGCGCAGCGGGCTGGAAATGAACTCATGTCGGTGTCACAGCATTCACGATAAGCGCTTTCTCCTCGTTTCCCATCCACATGAGAAGTTTGACTGGAGCTGGCTGAAGGGAGGCTGCCTGCGCTTCCGATTGGCTGTTAAATCTCTGTAGCTCGAGCAACTTGACGACTGTTTCGCAGGACACTGAGGTAAAGTGGCTTCATCCTTCCTCCCCTTAACGTTGTAGGACATCCGAGCTGGATGAGACAAAGTGTTCAGGAGCGTCTGGCGTCTCTAATGAAAAATGGCAACAGCGGCTTTTTTTTTTTTTTTTTGTCTTGGTCTGACTGCAGCATTACGTCGTCACAATCTGACCTTGGATTTATTTCTATCCCAGTGATCACATACTCAAATAGCAGCTTTTTGAATATCTGTTCAACTAAAAATATCTGATTGATGGCTAAAAAAAAATCACATCTTAAAGAATTTAATTCAGTTTTTCTCAGCAAAAATTTTGACTTAACTATAGTGTTTTAGGGGAAAACTTTATAGTGAGCAGCACTGGTGAACAAGGAGCTGACTGAAAGGTGTGAAGGAGGATTGTTTTTTTTCTCTCACAAGGCACCTGCAGTGGCTGCAGGGCACCCTGCATGAGGAGTGCATCAGCAGCATCCTAAGTTTCAATCAGACAGGGGGGTGTGTCCAGCACGTCAACTTACTGAAAAATGGTTCTTTGATGGAGATTTCTAGACCCGATTGATAAAGATATTTTCCACAAGCTGTATCAAATTCTGTTCCTTTAAAATATTACCTTAGAAAACGACTTTTTCTTTCATTCTCTCAATTCTTACCAGCCTTCATATATCCCCTCATGTGAACAGCTGTAGGCTATTTAATAGGCACAATGCATCTTTAATAAACAATGGGATGAAATACAGGATGTAAACATGCTGTATTGTAGTCAAATTGCTCATTTATGCCCAGCAGGTAAATCATGATAATAATTAAAACAATAGATGGGAAAATGTGCAGAAACATGCCAGACATTGCCATCGTCTGAAAGTCTTAAAGGTTGGATATGCAGAGCACTCCCTTATTCTGAGCGGTCGGCTGTTCCAGTATTGATCTCCTTTTACTGACGGAGCAGTTTGTCCAAATGTCCTATACGGGACCTCACCATCCCCTCGAGTGACTCATGAGTCATGATTCCTTCATTCTAGGTTGCTGGACTTGTGCTTAAAGGCTTCTTGGAACAACAGATACTGGCATGATTAACCTCTTTCTCCACATCACCTTATTAAGTCGTCTAAGCAGTTATGAAGGGATCGTTAAAGCTGGCGGCAGGAAGGCCCGACTGATCACTAGAGCTGGGAGGTGACTGAAATGAACCTTTTCCAAACCCCAGACAGAAAACTTAATCTAAATATGGGGATATTTAATCTTAGGCATAAAGCCAACCTCCATGTTTAGTGTTTAGTGTCTGCATGGGTTTGACTATGTTTGACCTGGTTAGTTAGACTTGATGATGAGTTGAGGGGCTTTAACTAGTTAAACCTGGTTAAATGCTTTTCTGTTTGCTTTAATCCTCATCACTCCATAGTGAAGAAAATATCCCCTGGTGACAGTGAGTATCTTGACTTTTTGGCAGTCAAGTTTGTAGGAATTTGGATCATTTAATTAAAATATAACAAATATTTTTCATGATACAAGTTAGTGTAGTGAGTTGTTTTTGCTGGGAATACATGTGTGTTTGTTGACTGATAATATTGTGCAACATCATGGGTAGTTGTGGATTTAGTGTTGCCTGCGGCTACTCCAGTACTTTCTTTCTAAAAACTGCGATCCTCAGTAAATTGATTGCTAATGCTGACATCATGACGGTATAACCACAGCTTCCGCTTTCCAGGATGCTGCCTTTTAACAGCACGCTAAAGATTCAGTAGAGAGTGATTATCAGCCCCAGGCACATTCAGAACAGAAACCTGTGGGTACATACTGTACGGAGATACGGAGTAGAGAAAATAAGAAAAGACACATGCTGTTCAATGTATGTGAAGTATGAGGCAGGAGACAAAAGAGGAGGATGGGACAGTCATTGCTTGTGGCAGATTAGCAGACAGCTACATTTTTTTTTCAAGCTTGTGCTGTTGTGATGTCTTTTTTGTTTATAGAAATATATATTACAATCTGAAGACAGTGGGAATCAGCTCATTTTAGGTCCCCTTTTGGACACTGAATGAAATAAACTGTTATGTTGAACTTGTTACAGAACATTTGACCACAAAAACCTATTTAAAAAAACAATAAAATTAAATGGGTGTGTGTGTGTGTGTGTGTGTGTGCTGCACTTCTGAGCGCTAAAGCTGGCAAGTGGACTGAGGAGTTTTGTTTATGGTCAACATACAGATTTACATCCATATATTGTGTTAGTTGAATATTCCTTTATCTAAACTGAATATATACAGGAAGTAACCTGTTTGACGTGACTGTCTAGTGGCCAAAATTCTTTACTTCTGTACCTGTTTAGCTCGTTTTATGAGACATGACATACTTACTGATTCAATGTTGTTTGACACAGTACTATTTCGACTACGGCACAAAAAGGAAGCAATATTAAGTGTGATGAAGAAAAAGTCGCCTCAACTTCTGTGTTTGTTTTTCATAACCTGTTGCTTTCTAGAATTCTGTTTTATATCGGTCTACTTAAAGCTGCTGTTGGTCTAATTCCTTAAAAGTAGGGCAACGCTGTTGCAATTCTCCTGCTCCTTCAGTCTGCTCTGCTCCTGAAAACAGAACGATCATTCAGGGGAACATGTAAACGTGTAACACCGGTGGCAGCCTCGCTGACAGAAACGGTGACGGTATTGTGTTCTTTTCTGCATAGCAATCACCAACTGGGTCCCCTGGAGCACAGACATCACTGCTTCACATGGCTACTGAAATGGACTGAATGGACTGCAGTATGTGAAATAAGCAAGACAAATGAGAGAAGTTTGAAGGGGAAAAAAGGGTTACAATGGAAGAAATCTCCATATAGACACAACAGATTTGGATAAATGAATACCTATTTTCCATAATATATAAGTCTCTATTGTTTAGGCTTCGGTGATTCCTATAGTTTTTAGTATTCCTTTTGAAATACTGACAGTTTTTGACACACTTCTCCATCTCTGCTGTGTTGAAGCTCATCTGGGGTTCAGATCAGCCAACAGGGATTTACTGCACACTTGCTCGTTTCTAATAATTTCGATTTCTAATAAATAAAGCTTATGACAAAAGATAGTAAGTTAAAAAATAAAACACTTGAGACAATTGAGACGAATGACAACAAAACAAATCAGATCATAAAACACAGAGGTGTCTTTCTGTTTAGATGAATTGTAAGAATGAAAAAAAAACAAAACATCTTGATGCAGCAACTGCGACTTCTACCTCAAACAAGAGCTATAAAACCAGTAGATGTTTAGGATGGGAGTGTTTTACATTCTGCCCTTTTTCATTGTTTGAGTCGCACAGTTGATGATGTAGCTCTATTCAGGGAAACACAATCGTGCTTTGACCTGGCGTTAAAGCGCTGCTTGGATCCTGCATTGGGTGGTTCAGGAAGGTCCTGCTATAAATGCGTGTTTGAACAGACTGGCACAACATGGTACATCTAAAGTGGGTCATAGGCTAAAAGTACATGTGAATCATCCTGCCATTGTTTCCACATTTTTCCATAATACTGCCTACAGTATAAGCAATTCACCCTCCTTCTCTTGTGCATATATTCCTTTACATTCAATATTTATATGTAGCAGACACATGTCCAAAAAATAATTCCATTCGTCAGTCAAAAAATAGATGTGGGAAGGTAGTGGAGGCTGCAAAAGATTCTGTAAAAGACCAGCCCGGCTCAGTTAAACATCACCATGTTGGCTCGGCTGCTTTTCTTGAACCTCCGTAGGGGTCTCAGGGGTAATAAAAAAGCACCAGAGTCTTGCATTCCTCTGCCTTTATTAGCAGATGTTGCTAAAAAAGTGAACGGCAGCCAGCACCTCTAGGTCTCAATAGGTAAATTAAGACAAACACCCGCTTCCCTCCATCCATTCATGTCTTATCTGCCTCTTGTGGCTAATCAAGGGGCAGATAACTTGACGGCACAGTACATGTGAGAGCAATTTGGTAACCTACCAAAGGATTGTGTCACAGCACAGTATATATTATTCATTTTGATTCATTTGGCAGAATGTATTTTCACTGTGTTTTTTTTTTTTTTTTTTAAATCTCTCCACGCCATCAGTGAGTGGCCTCAATAGGGGTTAAAGTTCACCTCAGCAACCCTGTGGCAAATCAGATTTCATCTGAATTGGTGTTTATATGATTTCAGTTCACAGAGGTCCTTAAAACTATGGTTTTAACTTCACAGCCTGGGTTTGTGCCTCACTGAATCTGGTCACATGATATGTAAGACAGTTACTCCCTGAACAATACAGGAAGATATGTAGTTTGATATGCGGGGGATATTTAGCTCAGACTTTTTGATATTGTGGCTTAAAATAGTCAACTGGAAACAAAACCCTTTTGTTCTGAAAACATGCACACGTCATCTCTGTCATTAAAGTGTTGAATTATTAGCTGGGATATAAGTTTGAAGATTTTCAGAGCGTAAATACAGTCACTAGTGGGCTTTTCTGTGTTTGTGTGTCAGTCTCCTCTTTTTACGGTTGCTGTAGACATGTTTCTGTTTTTGTGCTGAGGATGGGAAGTGGGTCACATGCTTGAATTATCCATTTGCAGGGTTGCATGCCTCAGTGCCAAGAAATTGCATTACGTGGGAGACTTCTGCTAAGGAGACGCGACAACACTTCTGGAGGATGGAGGAGAGAGCTGAGCGAGGACGCGCGCAGGAGAATGGACGCAGCGACGGCTCGGCCAGAGAACCCCGACCCTCCGCCTGCACCAGTCTGAGGGTACACAAACAAGCATGTCTTTATGAATGCTAAGATTAAGGAGATGCAGCATGTGTGTGTGTGTGTCTATGTGTCTGTGTGTTGGGAGTCACATGCCTCCATAGTGTATACAGCGCCTATAAAAAGTATTCACCCATCTCGCAAGATTTCCTCTTTTACTACTTTTCAGCATTAAATCACGATCAATTGACCTCATTAGAAAACATGTTCTACAAAGTAATGTCAATTAATTAAAAACATAAAATGCAATTTAAATGCTTGCATAGGTATTCACCCCCTAGTTCAACATCAGTACTAGACACACAATTAGTAAAACGAAGCTCTTTAGAGTGAAGTAAATGTATCTCAAGTGATTCTAGTATAAAGACACCTGTCTGTGTAAGGTCCAGTCACTGGTGAATCAGTACTCCTGGTTATAACAACACCGTGAACACTCCAAGCAACACCACGACAAAGTTAATGAAAAGCATAAGTCATGGGATGGATGCAAGAAAATTTCCAATGTACTGAATGTCCCTTAGAGTGCAGTTAGAATCCATGAGTAAGAAATGAAAGGAGTGTGGCCCATGTGTAAATCTGCTGGAGCAGATAAAATAAAATGTAATAGAAGTGATTGCGTAAGTATTCACTTTCTTTGGTCCGTAGTTATTAGAAGCACCTTTGGTCACAACTACAGCATTGTGTCTGTGTGGATAGCACTCAATCAGCCTTGTACATCTGGACAATGCAGTTTTACCCCATTCTTCTTTACAGAACGGCTCAAGCTCTGTTGGTTTGCACAGGGATCAAGAGTAAACAGCCATTTTCAGGTCCAGCCACTAATTATTAAGTGGACTGAGGTCTGGGCACTGACTTGGTCACTCCAGAATCATTCACCTTGTTGTCTAAACCATTTCTGTGTAGATGTCACTGTATGCCTCTGGTCATTGTCTTGTTAAAAACAAATCTTCTCCCAAGTTGCAGTTTACGAGGAGTCTAATTGTCCTCAAGGATTTCCCTATACTTTGCTGCATTCATTTTACCCTCTACCTTTACAAGCCTTGCAGGGCCTGTTGCTGAGAAGCAGCCCAATATCACAATGCTGCCACTACCATGCCTCGTGGTGTTTGTTTGTGATGATGTGCAGTGTTTGGTGTCAGCTAAACATAGCATCTAGTCTGATGGCCAAAAGGCTAAGCTTTGGTCTCCTCAGACCAAAGAATCTTCTTCCAGTTGACGTCAGTGTTTCCCACATGCCTTCTGGTTAACTCTAGTCAAGACTTAATATGAGCTTGTTTTTTTTTTTTTTTTCAAAAAAAGTGGCTTTGTCTCCCATAAAGCTTTGACTGGTGAAGAACATGCAACAGTTGTATGCACAGTCTTTCTCATTGCAGCTGCTCAAGCCTGTAATTCCTACAGAGAAGTCAAAGTCTTGACTGCCTCCCTCACTAGTATCATTCTTGCACAGTCACCCAGTTTTTGAGGATGGCTTGCTCGAGGCAGATTTACACACACCATCTCTGACTGATGGATTAAATTGCATTTTGAAGGATATTCGGTGACGCTGAAATGTCCTTGTATTCGTCCATTGACTTGTGCTTTTCAATCCCTTTGTTAAGGAGTTGATTGGACTGTTCTTTTATATTCATGGTGTAGTTATAACCGTAAGTGCTAAATATAGGAGTATTTCACCCATGACTGGACCTTCCAGATACAGGTGTCTTTATACTACAGTCATTTGAGACACATTTACTGCACTCAGATGATCTCCATTTCACTAATTGAGTGACTTCTAGCACAAACTGGCTGCACCTGTGTTGAATTAGGTGAGTCACCATAAAGGGGCTGGATACTCATGCAATCACTTATTTTACATTTTATATTTTCATTTATTTGACAATACTATTAAAAAATCTGTTTTCACTTTGACATGTAAGAATCTTACTTTTCCTTTCTTCCTTTTCTTCTTCCTTTTTTCATCTTTTTATTCTTGTCAAAAGGCTACATTAAATTGATTGACTATAATTCAATGTTGAAAAGCAATGAAGGGGAAAAGCAAGATGACTACTTTAAACAGGCACTGTATGCTTTTATTCATCTGTGCTTATAGAGACCAGTAAATTAAATGACTTAATCATGGTAACAGACCAGCAAGTCTCTTTCCACAATGATGATGTATTTTTGCTTAGGAATACTGTACATTTTAATCAGTGACCTGTTCTTCTTAATATGAAAACATAACAGAATTATACAAAACTAATCATGCTTCTTCTGTTTTTCATATGCTGGTATTTTCACTGTATGTCCATCCATCCATCCACATCTTTACGTGACCATAGTGTCATTTTTTTCAGATAAAACGTTTGGTGTCAGTGGTTGATGAGTGTCATTATCTCATATGTGGTCACGAGTTAACAAACAATCATAGTCTTTTTAGGATGCACCTTTTTTGTGAAATCTTTCCCAAAATTAAGTTCGAAGAAGTTCCTTTCTCACCCTGGAAAAGCAGTTTACAATCACATTGAACAGCCACAACAACACAATCAACAATATTGACTATCATCTTATAATGCAATGTTCTGCTGGGAAACCTTGGGTCCTGGCATCCCTGTGACACGTATCAACCAACTAAACATTGTTTCAGACCAAGTGAACCCCCCCCCCATGGCACTCCCCTACGCCCCAGCAGGACAGTGCTCCTTACGACACGGCAAAAACTGCTCTTCAACAGCTTGAAGAACATGGCAAAGAGCCCAAGGCATTGACTTGGCTTCCAAATTCCCTAGATCCAAATCTGATCGTGCAAGCCCCATCCACGAAGGCCTCACTGTGCAATCCACAGCACCAAAAATATCCACATCCTGAGGAGTCCAAGCTGTTTTGTCAGCATGAGGGGAACCTACACAATATCAGGAAGGAGCTTTTAATGTTGTAGCTGATTGGTGTATCATCCATAAGAAAAATTTCAGCACTTTCCAACACCTCTAGCTAACTCACCCTTAAAATCATCATCTGAATACACTGGGCTACAGAACAAGTCTGTTTCGTTGTCTTGCTGAAAGTAGAAATCACATAAAGACCCTCAAATCAAGCACACCGAGGCGTTCTACTTTAGCAACCACCTGCTTTTTTACAATAATGCTACTCTTGTGGCCTCTCGTTGCCATGGTGAAAATGTCATAAGGGTTATCGACATTTCTTTCTGATGAAGGACTGATGAAAGTAGAGCAGGGCACGATGTGAATATCACATTGTTAAAAACAAACCAACTCAGGCTTTCCTTGTTTGTCTTTTCGTTCTCCCGCCTTAAACAACCTTTTTTTTTAAAAAAAAAAAAAAAGAAAGAAAATAACAACACAATGTCCAATTGGCTGAAAGCATGTCTTCTGCTAACAACATGAAAGTCATTAAAGACCTAAACGAGATCAGACACTCTTGTTGCTTTTTCCAACATGAAAGTGCTTTGAGACAATGGTGTTCAAGCAGCTTATCATAATACAGACTGCAGTGTCAGGATGGACTTACTTCTTCTCAGAATTGTTTGGTTCCCTGACCGGCTGGGTGGGGCATGGCACAGCCCGTTTCCACTCTAATCCGTGTTACTCTCTGCTTTTTGTTAATTCCACCGATAAGACAAGAACTTTGGTGCCACGATGTCGCTGTGTTTCTTAATTTCTCGTTCTTTTCTTTTCTGGGCTTCAAACACCATCTCAGAACACCAGAGGCCCTTTAGAATAATGATATGTATCATGTATAATTCATTATTTTCTACTTTCGTACATTGCTCTAACAAACAATTCTGTGTGTGTGGGTCAGACGCCTGTGTTAGTCTAAGCGTATTAGGTGGGTGACATCAAATGAGCTGAGAACAAAAGCGGGTCGCAGGTCACGAGGAGGCTTTGTCTGGATTTTCACACAGTTTTAATGTGAATCTCTTTTTAGTCATTTCATCACAATGAGGCCACTGATTATTTGGCATTCGATAGAACACCAATTAAAAGTAAAGGATAAAAATGTCACAATGGATGCCATTGTTGCAAAATCCCAAAACAAGCAGCATGGTATTCAGAAACGTTTGTGCGTTTCTTAATTTCTTTGTAAGAATGACTCACTCACTAAAGAAAAAAGAGTCACTGATGACTCTATTTTAACAGAAATGTCTTCCTTGCACTTTTTAATGAAAGCAATAGCCTTTCGTGTCACTGTTGTTTGTAATAAAACAAGGTTTATAAAGGAGGTGTCTTATTTGGAACTTTGATCGATCAGGCATGGGATTTGTCGCTGACATGTGATTCCAACCAGGACATATTTTATTTTAAAAAAGTTGGAATCAACATGTGCAATATTTTTCCCAGAGTCCAGCGGTGATAGCAATATTGGAAAAAGGAGTCTAGATACTATTGCTAATTAACTCCTTATATGTTTAACTTATTTAACGCAGGCTGCTGTTCAGCTCATCTCTGTTAAATATTCCTTGAATTTTGTCACGTAACTTCTGGTCGCAGCTGAGTCATTAATGGCTTTTCAGTTGTGCTAAGGGTTATTGAAGAATCTGATTAGAAAAAAAGTATTTATTTTGGGACCATTTTTAAATAATACATGTAGAATAAAAGGACTTTGCTGAAATGTCACAATTTTAAGGTTAGATTTGGTGAAATTTTCCAAAGTAAGTTGAAAATAAAGCCAATGATTTTTCTGTCTTTTATTGTTTTTACTGCAACTTAACTTTCAAAGCAGCAGGTTTGGAATTTAGAGGGTTAAAAGCAGTGTGGTCCTGTGGTTTCACACATTAGATGCATAAACTTATTGAGATGTGCTATCTAAATAATGCAGACATGCAAAAACATGATTTTTACAAACAAATGCCTCGAAGGGACTCCGTCACTCACGCTGGTAAAAAAAAATAAATTCAACAATTCAACATAACTGAATGACTAAACTGACTCCAGCAGAATCTTGTCAACTTGTGTCTGCCAAAACGTCATCAGCTTTAAACGTGAAACAGTTAAATGCAGCAGTGAGGCTTAATTCCCTCTGAGGGTCACTGCTGATAAAATATCTAGAGATCTGAAGGAAACCTTGAGTTTGTGAAATTTCCTCTTAAACATTCCACTGAACATCGCTTCAGAACTACAAACAAGATCTCGGTGTCAATATGAGTTTCTCACTAAATAAAATAAATCAAGCTTATTTAACAATCAGTTTGAATGACTTTCAATTTGAATGTCTCATAAAGACCATGCTGATTCACTGACAAAGTGAGTGAGGATGGGCTGGAAATAGTTTCTTTTATTTGTGGTTATTTGCTTGCATTTTGGGCAATGCACATGTGATGAGTTACTGTTCATGTCCTGCAGCCAGCGCTGGTGGTCAGCATGATCCCAACAGAGATATGTTTGAACTGATGGGTCCTCTCTCACGATTTCATGTAAATAAATGCTTGGTGCAGGGATAAGACAAGTTGTTACTCTGACCAGTACCACAAATTCTTATTGTCGTACATGTTGTTAAATATACTTAAACCTCCCCTCGAATTGTCTTTTTCCATCTTCAACTAATGGGGTTGTACCAGTAGAATAGAACAGTCTAGTCAGCTGCTTCCAATTCAGCTACCACTGAACGACCTAAGGGTCAGACTGTGGCCTAAGTGCTGATTATTTGCACTTTCTAACTAATTTTGTTGGGCTGTGTGCTGTATGTTGGTATGTATAGCTGTATAATAATCACAGTCATTGTTTTCTCTATGCTTATCACATGTCTGTAAGTTATAAAGAGGATGGGATACAGTACAAGAAGCCTGACTGGGGCAACAAATCATTACTTATTTACAAGCACTCAGGGTGAAAGACAGAGATTACAGATACTTACATGAAGGCTGCATTCTTGTTTGTCTAAACTGATCTGAGAAATCACTGGAGTGAAACAACAGTAATTTTTCTTGTTTTCTGCAAGATAAAATTGCCAAAAAAAGGACAATGTAATGATGAAGTATATTACATTGTTGCATAGGACCAAGTAATATTAAAGTGTATGTTCTATGCTGATTCAATTAGAAATAGAGAAGCATAAGGAAAATAACTTTAAGAACACACAAATCTATACAGAAGTAGAAGTAACAGAGGCAAGTCTAGAATACATCTGTTGCTTATTTAACAATAGGCAAAAACCTATTTACCAGGTCATAGTGTAATTGATCTCCATTAGTGTTATTGATGTCTAGCTGCAGTTTGTTAGCTAATGTAATTGAGTAACTGGAATTGGCATGTCCTGATTCTTATGATGTTTCTGTGTGCCAGGGTTGTCTTGTGGCTCCCGTGTGTCTGTGGGATTTGTTGGATGACCTTGTTGCATAAATAGGCATTAAGTGTATGTCTTTGTGTTCTCAGAAATATTTTGTAAAAGAAAATAAATTGAATATTAGCAAACTGGTTCAGAATCTTGACACTGTTGTTGGACGACAGATGTGCGATTTACACGCAAACATTATTCTAACTGCTTCAAGAAACAACGATCAATAAAAGTTTTGTTGACCTTGCCTTACGTTATTTCTAGTATTATTACTCTACAGTGGAGTGAAATGACTGGCATGGATAGTGCGCTGTACAGATTAGATTTTTTTGTGTGCTTTTTTAATTAGACAAGGAGAATGGCTACAGAAGATAGAAATGGATTTGTTTCAATAAATAAACGGGAATAATGAATGAATGAAATGAAAAATACTTTATTTATCCCAGAAGGGAAATTCAATTATAATAAACATGTAACTCTGGAGTGAAATACACCAGTCAGCCATTCCTGAACATGAAATTTGTTTAATGCGAACGTTGATTTAACACAGTGATTGAAATAGTTGCAAATGTCCTGACAGGTTAATACAGAAGTCTCATTGTCAGAGTTTCATTTCAAGCAGAAAGTGTATTTTATCTTTTGGAACAGTTTGTGATATGATGGGTAATTATGTAACAACTCAGTAAGTGCTGCCTTCTGGAATCAAAACACTCCAAGACATGAATGTTTTTGCTTTTAAAAAGATCAAATATATGTACAAGGAAATCTGATAATAACAGTTATTTGAATCCTTATGCAACTCATCGGGTTTTCTTGTTCAATCCAAACTCATTCATATCTTTACAAGGTCAGCACCTCAGGGCAACATCCCAACTTTCACAATTACACAAAATTCCAAGAAAGCACACAGACTGTCATTGACCTTTAAACGGTGCACAAAGACCACACAGTCCATGTTGGTATTTTTGCATTTTCCCTGTGCTTTGCATGACGCTATTAGTTTTTGAGTGTTTGGCTGGTGTGTTGGTACAGAAGTTTGTTGACAAAAACCTCCTCTCTATGCTTTTGTAACTATTAACCATGCGTAGCATTAAAACAATAGCTCGAATACGTAGTGTTCATTGAGTAGAGGCATGCAAATTAGACCAGAGAGTAGAATAACATTCTTTATAAAGAAGTGGGGAAATCAATCAAATTGTTTGTCCCGTGCAGCATGAAGAAGGCCCTGTGTGCAGTGCCGTATTTTGAGGAATGAGGATTTCTTTCCTTCTCAGTTTGTTTCTGTTACAAGATTTAAGGGACCAAAACAGGAACAATGAGAGAAAAAATAAGAATTTGTTTGTTTCGTTTTTTTTTTTCCTTTAATCAACTGCTGTCTTGTTAGATTTTTGGGGGGATCCCTTCGGGGCTCCTTTAGAGCCTCATATCTACGCTACAGAAAAAAAGCAAATGACTACTTTTATTTGTTAAGCACAACTGAGAATGAGTGGAACGTAGCACTATTAATGTGACAGTTATTATGTTGTAGGAGGATTAAAAGCAGATATTTTTGAAAACTGCCATTCAGTTTATAGCCCTCAAAGTTGTGTGGCTCGTGTAAGTAACTGACACCGTTGTACTAACTTTCTAATGTAAACATAGCAAACCTCAACACCTTCTGTCTGTTTACTTGTTGTTTCTATATCTGCTTGTGCTACTGTTCCTGACCGTGATTGGCTGCTCCCCTGTAGCGCCAAATAATTTTGCGTTTTCAAATCCAAATTGCAATCTGAAACAATGTAATTGGCAAACTACAAATGCTGCACTTTGGGATATATGTAGTGCAGTTTATCTATAACTTTACACCGCACTATAGAAGTTAGTTTCTACTGTATTCACTGTGGCCTGAATGATTACATTGTTTCCCAGAGTAAATGGGCACTGGTTTTATTTGTAATTTTTGTCTTGTTTTCAGTCAAACTCAGCCTCTTTTTGGTCTTGGAGCTGCTTAGTTAAGTGGTCTTGATTCCAGTACTAGTCATAACTCTCTCTTCTTTGTTACTTTTGAAAAACTTACATGTACCATCCTATATGACGTGAATTTGTTCTGTCTGCCACTGACGCTTACTCAGGTGTTACTGTTTCATTGTTGTTGAGTTCTTACTCTCTGACACTCTTCTCCCCTTCACTTATCTCGATTATTATTCCTGTCATAATGGTGCTTGCTAATTAGTGAATGGATTAATGATAGAGGTCCATGTATTGTAGATACCACAGTAATATCACACAAGTGCTTCTTTCTTGTCGATGTCAGTGGACAAAAAAACAGGAATATCAAATAATCAAGTAGTTTACGAAAAGGAATAATTGGGTTAAAACACTCCATTTGCTTCTTTTGAAGTTCCTTGCTTCTGTGCATATCGATGTAAAATCCTTGTCTTTTCTTTCTCTTTCCTTTATCTCATCTCACTTTTTTTTTTCCTCCCCCCCAGATGTTTCTGGTGGCTTTGTCCTTTGCCTATTTTGCAAAGGCTCTGTCAGGGAGCTACATGAAGAGTACAATAACTCAGCTGGAGAGGCGCTTTGACATCCCCAGTTACCTAATAGGTGTCATTGATGGGAGCTTCGAGATAGGTGAGTCGGCCCGCCAATCACTGCTCTTATTTTGTTGTTCTGTTTGCAGGCTGTGTGTCGTGGGCTCCCTCCCTTCTCTCTTTCTGTCTTTGGGGCGAAAAATATGAATGGGTTATCGAGATATTCAAGCTGCAGATAAAGGATTCATCTGGCTTCCGAGAAGAGGACAGAGGGCTGTGTGTGTGTGTGTGTGTGTGTGTGTGTGGTGAGTCATAATGTTGGGCAAGGACATAAGACGTGAGCCCTGAGCTCCCTTCGAGCTGTGCACAACCAGACCCCATGAATTTGTAAAATTTTGTTACGCAATAGCTATATTATCAATTTAACCTCTGCTTTCCCCCAGTAATATATATGGAAATTAGCTGGCATTTACTAATTAAGAGCAAGTTCTGGTTGCTGCTGTTGTTGCCAACTGTCTGGTTTGGTTTGTGTTACTATGCAACCCCTGTAAGTGGCCCTCTGGGATAAATAAAGTTTTTCCCCATCCTGATTTACTAGGTTTTATCTAACATGCGAATCAGCTACAAGCAGACTGACCCTGAAGGCACAAACTAAAATGTGTGTTGTGTAAGTGCATCGCATACTGCTGAGCTCTGTGTTGACATTTAACGTCAAATTCTGCTTTTTTTTCTTCTTTTTTTTCTTGCAGCGCAGGTCCAACTTTACTAGAAATATAGGTTATCTTAAGGAACCAGAATCTTTTCAATACTGCTCATTTAGAGTTTATCTGTATCAACCTAAATATCAAATCAAAAGCAAGCGATTGCGACTTAGAGAAACCAAAGATATGTGATTATAAAACTGTGCTTCAGCGCACTCACTACCTGGAAACTGGCTGAAATTTATAAATGAACTGTTTATAAAGGAAATCCCTATTAATGCTGAATTAACCCTATTCAGGACTTTCATGTTTCCATACATAGAAGGTCTTTCGGGGTTCATTGGACCTCAAGAAAGAATATGTGCAAAATATTTGTTGGTGTTCATTATAAACCTTTATACTATGTTAAATACATTTTCTGATAAGTTGATGTATTTTTGGTTCTAAATGCATGACAAATGTCCCTCTTTTTATATTTAGAAAAAAGTCCTGAATAGGGTTAAAGCCAATGTAGAGGTGTTGAGGGATGATACTGCATATGTGTAAAAAGTTGGATTAACTCTTTCAGGGTTCCAGGGAGAGCAATGTGATTAAGTGTGAGAACGGAAAAAAAAAAAATATGTAGAGTTTGTTGGGTTGAAGTATGTGGCTAAAAAGCATAAATTTGTAGAAAAAAAAAACAAAAGTGCATTCAGTTAGTAGATCTTGCTTGCAGCACTACTGTAAATGTACCACAGCCACTGTACATACGGTATGTAATCTGTGGTTCCTCTGCACAGCGGGGAGGTTTTGATGACATTCTGCAAAATGTGTTCCCGATTGTCCCCCTGACCAGTTTCTAGGACAGTTACGTAAGTCTACCCCATTCAAGTGAAGTGTCTCTTGCAGGTTATAAATCATACATAGCTTTCGGAGCGAGATCGGACCCAAAGCGATGCAGTTTTTACACGAGAAAAGTCAACATCTACTGTAAACCATTCTGCCTCCGTTCCTACGCTGTCAGACAGAAAGTTTGGCTCCACTGTGACACAATCGTTAAGAATAGTTAACATTTTCCTTCAGTGACATTATGAGTCGTGTGAGTGTGACTGTGTGGGTGACCTTGTTGGGTATCTGCCACATGGGGAAAGGTGACGATGACACCTTAGGCGCAGCCAAAGCTGAATACCTTGATTCTCTCTACCTCCATCGCCTGTAAAAGCTGCTTCTTTCATGTGGCCTTGGCAACAAGCCTTTTCTATAGGACTGTTGCCAGGGTAACATAGAGGCAGAGCAGGGCAGCGTGAAGAGGAAAGAAAAAGGAAAAGGAAAGAGACAAGAAAGGAGAAACAGAATGAAGAAGAAGACAAAGGGGGAGAATAATGAAGAGAAAGGAGCATGGAGAGTGGTAATGATAGATGCTGATCTTTACGAAGGTCACGACAGCAAGATGAGACCAGAAGATTGGATCCATGTATGAATATGACGTCTGTGACTCATTCTTAGCATGTAATTTGCACATACTGTGTATCATAATCACAAAAAAGTTAGAACAAGTAACAAAAACTAAGTTACTGCATGAGCAAAACACAGTGAAATAGGCTTAAAGGAAGCAGACAGCCACTGTACTGGTAGCGACCAACACTGTAATTATCTTGTAGAATACTACGTCAGATATAAGCACGTTTCCTGCAGCCACACATAAAGGTTAAAAACACACATTTACAAATCATTACTGACATTTCTCAGAGCTGTCTGTCTGTTTGTCACGCACTCATTCATGTGATGACCGCTGCATGACTGCTTTATGTCATTCCATCAAAGGAACCTGTACAATAACAAAAGGTCAGATAGCATGACTTAAGCTTATCTCCCATCTCATTTACAACAGATTTCCTATGCGTCACTGATCATGGACAAAAAGAGGTGCCGGCCAAAAAATTCCACCTGGCATTGTTTCATTTTTATGCTGTGTTTCCTACCACATCCCGGAGACAGTAAAAATCAAGACACAGCATGTTCTTTTATGAGCATACTATGAGCATACACATGAGTGTGCGGTAGCTGTCAGTTTTCATCTTTTCACTTGAAAATTTAATGCATAAGTCATCTCAGACTGGCACGTGACAATGTCGGGGATGCAGTGTACAATAGCTATTTTGCTGGCTAAGGCATATAGGGAAATTGGCTTATTAAGATCCGATTGGAATGGTAGGATTTTTTATTATTAGGGTCCGAGCACTTCAGTACGTAGGACCCTATTGGAACTGCTATATCATTATTTCTTTGTCACAAAGAAACACATTTTTCAGGTCCAAAACGTACTTGAAAACTCACAAAATTTGGCAAAAGATGGACGTAGCTACTGTGACGTCACCCGTTGGTTTCTGCACTGAAAAAATTAAGCCAGGGTTTTGCTACTTCCTGGTTGACATCTTGGATTTTTGGAGTCAGTGACGCAAAAATCATCGGAGGGGGGCGGAGCCATAGGAGCAGCGATTGGTCAGATGGATTGAGAGGCAGGCCCTCTCTGCCCGCCCACATTTACTGCCTTCTGCTCGCTTGAATTGTCGCTGCCGACTGTCAATCAAGCCAGCCACGCCCCTTTTCCCCCAAATTTTTGACAATTTTTTAAAAATTCAGTATTGATTTATTTTCAGATTGGCCACCTGATCTCTGGATTTGACCATGAAAACTAATAAGAAAAAAACCCTGAGCTGTAGGAATGCAGTATTTCGTGATCTGTGATCACCCAACAGGAAATGCACCATGTTGGAAAAACAGCGATCATGCCGGGCCATTTTCGTTCAAAAATGGCCATTTTTGGCCATTTTCAAAATCTATCTCCTCCTAGGGGGTGCATTGCACACACCTGAAATTTGGACAGCTCAAACTACAGGACGTGGTGATTAAAAGTTATCAAAACGCTCCGCAGATGAGGCCCGGTTTGGAAATGGCGGCCCGTGCAATTTTGCTCAATGGCCATTTTGTCCATTTTCGCTGTGTTTTTCGCATTCAACAGAGTCCTGTCAGAAGGCCGATTCACCTACAGCTACAAGATTCGGTGGGCACATGTACCAGCTCAGGACGCACAAAAAAGTCAATCAGCACCAAGTCCTTAACCCAACAGGAAGTCCGCCATTTTGAAAAAACTTGGTGACAATTTTGCCAAAACGGCATAAAATGCCAGAACACGAGGTGTGCTGTGTAACTGGCCTGTATGTGCCAAGCATTACACGCATGCTCCGAGTCTCAGCCAGACCTCGTTTCCGCCATAGTAAATACGCATGCCGCCATGGTTCGCCACTAGGCCGCATGTGCTTTGATCTGCCCCAAACTCGACACACCGGCTCAGAGTTACACCCGCAACACCCCGACGTGGGTGAACACATATGGCGAGAACCCGTCAAATGCCACTTGTGGCTTTAATTTGTTCTTGCTTTTCATTTGCATTTCTGTGTCCTGTTTAGCTGCAGAAAGTAAAAAAAAAAAAAGCTCCTTCACTTCACATTTTACAATTTTTCGAATCCACCTCTCATCTACTGACATGAAAAATAAATACTTGCCAGCATGCAAAGCCACAGCCGAATACAGCACAGTCACAAGGAAGCTGTGAAAATCAAATGTAATGACTCAACTGACCATTTGCTCCACCTCCTGTCCTTCCTTCATGCAGGTGGGGCGAACAGTTCAGTGGCTTTCTAAATCAATGATATTTCTGGCTCCATCCTCCCAGGTAACTTGCTGGTGATAGCTTTCGTCAGTTACTTCGGGGCCAAGCTCCACAGGCCAAAGATCATTGCAGTGGGTTGTATATTGATGTCCATTGGCACCTTTATCATCGCTCTGCCACACTTCATCATTGGACGGTAAGTAAAAAGAGCCAAAGGTAGGCAGATACTAATATGTTTACTGTATAAATACATTTTAAAAATCCAGTGAAGAGTCCATATTTTTCATTTTATTGTGTATACAGGGTGAAAATATGGCCATTATTTTTCTGTACATGCTTCATTACGTCAACTAACATACTGGAGCACAGTTAGTGGCCCTTTACTTTCATGCTCCTTCATAAAAGCTCCTTCCCGTACAGTGTGAAGCTTACAACTAAGTGAAATGAGGATTTTCTCTCTGTCCCTCAGGGTTTGAACTATTTGTATTTTATGCGCAGCTATGAATATGAAACCTCGGTGCGTCGGGTTGTGAACTCAACCCTGAACCCGTCTCCATGTCCGGTGGGCTCACCAGCAGACCGGACACAAGATGGTAAACTGCTTCAAGTGCCAGCCGCAGGTGAGTGCATTAAAAAATAAAAAATAAATAAATGTGTAAACAAGCAAGGAAATGTCCGATTGCACTCTTTACCTTTCCATATCGATCCCTCCAGGTTGCGAAAGCGAGTCCAACCTGTCTATGTGGATCTATGTCCTCCTTGGAAATGTCTTGCGGGGGATTGGAGAGACACCTGTTCAGCCGCTGGGAATCTCTTATATAGATGATTTTGCTACCGAGGAAAATGCCGCACTATATGTTGGTAAGAAAAAACATCACCCAGTGATAGATATAAATGAAAAAAACAATTACTTTATCTTTAATATTCTACGCACATGGTCAACAAAGTGACCATGAAAAGTACATTTCAAAGCAGCTTTAGGAAAAGCACATTTCTGGTATATTTTGTTTTTACAGCTTCTATTTTCAACATAGGCTTTATTAGATTTGATATGAAGTTAATGGTTCCTATATGCAAGTTTGCTAGACTCACTTAAATAACATGAAGGTCTAAGGTCGGGCCGGGGAAATTTACTGCTATTAAAAATGTCAAGCAGCAATTACTCTCTGTGAATATCCTATAATGACTTTGTTTCTATGTCAACCAGGGGAGCGTGTGCGTCAGATATAGAAACACTGTGATCAGGCCGAAAACTGTGTAGTTTCATAAACCCTCAGTTCGGTTTGTTTTGGTATCCTCACATGGCACCGAGCCAGGGCCAGCAGGCAGCTGAGCCAACTCTCACAGCCTACCAAGTGGCTGAAAGAAACAGGGCCTAAAACAGAGCGTTTCAGATAGAGGGTGAGAAAAGGTGCGACCATATGAGAATGATAGTGTCTTTTTGTGAGCATAAAGCACGTGAACATATTCTAGCAGACTCCAGAAGAAATTGTTATTTCAAACCTCTAAACGTGCATAATGCGGGCTCTTTAAGGTTTAGGACAAATGTTACAATACCAAAACACCACAGAACAGCTGAATTCCCCTCACACTGACGCAACTTAGACAATATCTTCCATTCATTATCTGAATCAGCCTCCTCATCCAACTTAATCATTTCATGAACTGAAGGACCATGGAGTACCATCTTTTCAAGATTTTTATGCCAGGGAACAAATGCTGGCAGCGAGGCTGCTGATGCTGATTAAGGACTGACAAAAAATTGTTTAAGTTTTGTGAAGCGGAAACATTTCTTTTTTTGCATCCTTTGAAATCTCCCCCCAAAAAATCTGTGGTGGCAAATCCCCGATTTTCAAAAGCATTCTCCAAATTAAAGAGTCACATGATTGTGCGGGTATTTTTAGGGTAGCCTAAAAGTTATTTACAAAAAAAAAAATAGCCATCAGGCATGTAACAGTTAACACAGGCGTCTTCAGTAGCTCACAATAGTGCCATGCTTGCAGAAAGATCTGCCATGTGCTGCGGTGGTGTTTTCCTCAAACATGAGCAAGACAATAAATCTGTAGTGTGAATAGAACATGCTTTCTCAGCAAGCCTTTTATAAAACAAATTAGTGTTTAAAATAAGTTCTGCATGTTTGTAATGCATGTAGTTAAACCAATATGTGTGTAAAATCTGTGATAAAATATCTTTGAAGTGCTCTGTACTGTTCATATCACAGCAGAGATTGCTAACTAGTCTGTATGTTGTGTGTCTCTTTGGATTTATCAAATCCTAGGTTGTGTGCAGACCATTTCAGTGGTTGGCCCTGTGTTTGGTTACCTGCTAGGCTCCCTTTGTGCCAAAATCTACGTGGACATTGGATTTGTAAAAATGGGTGAGTTTAAACACATCTGTATGTATTGCAAGGCCCGACTATTAGATGCATTTGCAAACTGTCTAGACGCATTTGTTATCATTAACCATCCTGGAGTCACAGAGAATTTATCTGAGTGGATCTGGAAAACATTTGCTCGGGAGCATTTATGTGGCCATACATAACCTTACATCGTATGGCAGCCTCTCCATCTTGCTAAACTGCTTTAGACTCGTTCCATAGAGAAATGGCTTGCACAGAATAAATTGAAGAAACCTTTCATACATTCAAGTTTCCCATACGTACTCTGGTCAAATATAGCATTCTGTTTGTTCATATCGCCATAAGGAATTTTAGTCTACGTTTTTGTGGTTCAGCAGTAATGACACCATGACAGCTGATAGGAGGTGGTTGATAAATATACAGTTAATTGTGACCTCTGGGTATCAATTGAACTTACGAATAGGAAGCTCTTTCTTCAGACAATGTGTTTAGTAAGGCCAACATTTCATAACACAAGGCCAAAAAAGAAGACATTTATCAAAGCTACATATGGTTTTAGAGTCCTGGGGCCAGATGCACAAATGTACATTGATTCTATATGTACACTCATAACTACAGTGTGTGTATGCAGCACGGAAAGACAGACCTGCTTCTGTTATATAAATCTAAGTCATTGTGGGAACATATGCACATGTCTGACTCCCACTTCCACAGTTCAACGGATGAATAAATGGGACATTTCCGTGAGAAGAAAGGTAAAGAAATGCAGTTTAACTGACTGTCCAACATTAGTGCAGCTGTTAAATATTGAGTGGTGCCATTTATAGCACCTGTATCATCAATTTATCACACATGTTCGTAAATCCTCACTATAGTGACAGCTCAAACATCAGTATTAAACACCAAAAAGATGACCAATCAGTGTAATAAAGTGCATACACTGCATTGCAAAAGCAGGTTTTAAAATATATATATATATAAATGATGTATAGAGGGCTGCATAGATTTCAGGTATAAAAACCCAATCAAGGAAACTGGCTAATTGAAAAACCAAACCACGCAATGCTTACTATAGGTTTCCCATCCTACATTTAATCTCTTTCACCTGCAGCTCGCCCTAGAAAACTGTGTACACACCTGGTCTGAAGTATGCATGGAGTGTGCACATTCTCACCATACATTATTCTTTTAGACTAAACATGAGTTAATGTGTGTACAGTCTTTTTCTGCATATACATTTGTATATACATCTGGCTCCAGGAGTTGTGCATGCTGGTGCACTGTCACACTATCAGAAGTTGAATACAGCGGAGCCATTGTTAAGGCTATTAGCAATACTGTTCTTAAAATACTGGTTGAAATGTCTGCTGTAAAAATAAAAAGCCTTTTCATTCATAAAACTGAGGTAGGATGTTATCAGATGCAGCAACAAGTGGATCGCAGTCGGAGCGTGCACAATTCAAGACTCAGAACAGGTGTGCAGCATTAGCATCAATTAGCTGATTAATGAGGGCAACGGAGGGAAAAGGAGGACACCAATCAAATAGAGTGCAACGGGAAGAAGGAGGGGGAATAAAAGACTGAAAAAAGGTAGCAAGCTACAGAGGAGAGACAGAAAAGTAGAAAAAATTAGAGAATAGTGATGGCAAGGATGGTAAACAGGAACAGGGACAACAAAGTCTTTCTTCTGCACTTGATTTCATTTCATGCTTAGTCTCAGAAAGAACTTTAGTTTGTTTGTTTTTCCTAAAATGTATCCATCCATTATCTATACACCGCTTAATCCTCACTAGGGTCGCGGGGGGGCTGGAGTCTATCCCAGCTGACTTAGGGCGAAGGCAGGGGACACCCTGGACAGGTCACCAGTCTATCACAGGGCTACACTTAGAGACAGACAACCAAGCACACTCACATTCACACCTACAGACAATTTAGAATCACCAATTAACCTCAACATGTTTTTGGACTGTGTGGGAGGAAGCCAGAGAACCCGGAGAGAACCCACGCTGCACGGGGAGAACATGTAAACTCCACTCAGAAAGATCCTGGTGCCCCCACCGGGACGCGAACCGGCAACCTTCTTGCTGCGAGGCAACAGTGCTACCAACTGCACCACCTTGCAGCCCCCCTAAAATGTGTATTACACCAAATATATTTTGATTACGTTAGATGGACAAATCCTCTCAAACTCTCTGAGGGCCAATTAATAAAACCGAAGCAGGAGAAAACAACCACTAACTAGACTAAGAAAACTTACCATTGAAACAAATGACCAGTTTTAACACACACACGGTGACTTCTTAGGTGGACTACAAAAACTACTTCTACAAAACTCTTTGAAACTACGAGGGTGAGAAGCAGAAATCAGAAGTTCATGCAATGGTAGGACCAACTACACTGTGTTGTTCTGCTGTTATGCCTGGATGACAAAGTGTACATACTCAGTGCTTCATCATTACATCCAGTCAAGTAAAAAGACTTCAAGAAAGCCTGTAGACTAAAGTATGCAAAAACAGCATGCATATCTCACGATGGAACTATTCAGCTAAACCATGCTGCATGTGTTAGACATTAAGCCACTAATATGTGCATTACTTACTGTACCTTTCCCCTCCTGTACTCCCAACATAGAAACCATCACCATTACTCCAGCAGACGCCCGCTGGGTAGGGGCCTGGTGGCTGGGCTACCTCATTGCTGGGGTCATCACCCTGCTCTCTGCCATCCCCTTCTGGTTCCTGCCCCGCTCTCTACCCACGTCCGGGCCCCGGGTGCCAGAGAAGTGCACGCCAGAGCAGACGAGTTTCATTAAAGAGTCTCCGCTTCTGAAGCACAAATATCCAGCAGACGAACATACTAGTTTTATAGAGATGGCCAAAGGTAAGGACGGATATGGAAGTCTGCAGTGGTTTAAGAATAAAGTCTGAAGTTTTGGATTTTTTTTTTACTTGTCAGAGCTGGACAACTATATTTCCTGGATGCCTTTCTCAGTGATGATAAAACATTTATTCTTTTGTAGGATTTAGGTGGTTTTTCAGATCCCTTTAATAATCGCTGTAGTTGTCGGATTTTCAACTTTCCCACAGTCCCTGAACTACTCATTAGTGATGTGCTGTTCTGTTGGGATACTTAACCAAACATCAGCTTAAAATTGTGATATTTCATCAAAGTCGCCTTATTCTGCAATGTCTCATTCAAGAAGTTGGCAAAAGTAAACCGTTTGCACAAACCAGATTCTGTAAAAAAAATCAATAAATCTGCGAGAAACCATTAGTACCTGAGCTGTAACCAACAGTTACATAACACAAGTTTTGACTTTTTGTGGCTGACTTGCAGGCTGTGAAATGGTATGTGAATGCGAATAGGAACATATCTGTAGTCTGTAGAACTTTTTTTCAGTGTTGGTTACACCTTTGGGCTCTTGGAAAACTGTTGTCCAAGTATGAAAACAGATTAAAAATGTAAATAGTAAAATATTTGTAGTATGTCGAACTTTTCCACATTGATTACACATTTAGACTCTTAGAAAATTCTTGTACATGTTGACTTGAGATTTTATTTTATTTTTTTAACATTTTTGTGAAACAAACAAGAAGACATGAGTTGTGTCTACGTCTAGGCATGGTTGTGTTGTGAGGTGCAGGACTTGGATTGCAGGGAAAAGGTGAATAAAAAATGTAACAGGAGCAAAAAAAAAAAAAAAAAAAACACCCAGAAACTTGGTTGGAGCTCAGGGGGTTAAATAAGGATGAGATCGTAAGACAAGAGACGAATCCATTACGACAGGTACAAACAGACGCTGAGTGATTCATGATCTTGAATTTAAATTGGCGGAGGGTTACCAAAGAATTAATTTTATGGCGCTTTGTAAAGAGTTCCAGGTGGTTGGAGCATAAAAACTAAAAGCAGATCTTCCAAACTCAGAACAAAATTGAGGTACATGGAATGAAAGGCTATCATTAGACACAGCGTGATATAGCCTAAAGCACTGGTTTAGTGTAGGATGTAGGGCTGCATAGATAAACAACAACATATGGCTTTCACATCTTTCAGATAGAGAAGACTACCAAACTTTCTCATACAAGATGCAATGCTGAGTGCTATGAACAGAAATAAACCAGAGGGCAGAATGATAAACAACATCCAAGGGCTTGAGAGTGGAGGCAGAGGCAGGTCTATAAATCACCATAATCTGAAACAGAGTGAAAAACAACTTCAGCAGTGTTTTTCCTACAAAACACTGAAGAGTTAGTTGTATTTCTACACACACAAAAAAAAAAGTTTTTGTTGTGAATATTGACGGATCGAATATTTAATCATTGTAAAGTCCCTATATGGAGAAATTAAAATGCTGTAGAATGAAATACAACAACATGAAAATGTCTAAAAAGATTTACACATCAGGTCTTTAAAATGGAAATTTTCTTTCTTTTCTCTTTTGACAACAACAACTTCAAGGTACCCTGCAGAGTTTTCTTGGAACAAAAAGTTTCCTCACCACTGTGCGTATGCTGTGAAACATGTTGAAGTTGAATGTTTGATGTTTCAATCCAGATTTTAAATCATGCGTTATTTATATTCCATTTATCGCTGCCTTTATTTGTGCATTGCCATCTTTCTTGGCGTGTTAGATCCATGTGTGCACTCACGCCGCATATAAAATAGAAAAACATGTTAAAATATTGCTTCACAGCATTCCCAGTGAGCTAAAACTCCACAGGATATCTTAAAGCAACAGCTTTCTCTACATATATTAGCTTGATTTTGTCACAAGGCGGCTTCACTGCAAAGAAATCATTAGAAATCATTACAGTCAGCAGTCACTGTTACGTAGAATTATTGCATATTTTCAGTCAGCCGTCTGTCTCAACTAAGATTTTTATCCCTCTGTAGACTTTTTTCCAACCCTGCGAACTCTGCTGGCGCACCCAGTGTACCTGATCTACTTGTGTGTGACAATCATCCAGCTGAACTCCCTCATTGGCATGGTCACCTACAAGCCCAAGTACATTGAGCAACACTTCAGGCAGTCTGCATCAAAGGCCAACTTCCTGATGGGTATGGGACATTCTTCATGAATATTGCACTGTGCTATATAAATTATTTGCATATTACAGCTGAAAAAAATCATAGTGAAACAGAACCGGGCAAGGCTTTTCTGCTTGGTTCATATTTCATAGGAGTAAAAACTGCTCGAATTAACTCTACTGTCATGTATGTACACAACGTAACATTGCAAGATTTACTCATTTGAAATGTTTATAATTATAGTTTTACAGGGTTTTCTTTACATTTAGCATTTCCTCATTGTTTTTGTACTTGTTGAATTAGGCTGATACAGACCCACAGAGAGAGGATATTGTTAAAGAAAGGAGAATTGGGTTAGCTATATTCTCATTCAACCCACTCACTGCCGCAGCTGCAGAGGCAGAAGCTTTGTGAATATGTGGCTCTGCACATGAGGTAAAATATCTAATGAAGCTTGTAGCATAAAATGAAAATATCTGAATTCATGCAGTCTTATCAAGGGAGATGGCTGCGCTGACCAGACTGGATGCATATGAAAGAGAATGCAATATTAGTGACCAGAGCTAAAGACATGGGTATAGATAAAAGACCATGTCTTCATACTGATGTTACATGAAGGTATAAGGAAAAAAATGTTTAAAGCAGTGCTCTTTTTTGATCATGGCAACTTGGAACTTGTGTAGCCTTATTTTTCCTCTGGAAGTCTCTCAGTACTTAACTTCAATGCAGCATGAGCAAGCATGAAAAAGACATCAAGCTATGATGCAGTAATAAAACGTATTGTCCAACTTTGATCAAGCTTTTTAAGCAACGTAAATCAATACTGATCACGCGTTGTGCTGTTTCTGTTTATTTTCAGGAGTGATCAATATCCCCGCTGTGGCACTGGGGATGTTCTCCGGAGGTTTGCTGATGAAGAGGCTGAAGCTGAACATCATGGGAGCAGCCAGGTTTGCCTTCGGCACCTCTCTGATTGGTTACATCCTGTCACTGTTCTTCTTCGCAATGAGCTGTGAGAACGCCAAGGTGGCCGGGGTGACGCTTTCGTATAACAGGTGAGTCACAGATAGTGGTGTGTTTGGGGACCACACATCACGTGGACCACTGACTATAGTCTGGAATGCAGATATTTGTTATTCTGAATCCACTAAACATAGTACAGTTGGTAATCTGCCAGTCAGATGAGTAGTCACTGTGGTGTTAGTGTCGTTCGTGAGTTTATACCGGGATATATTCATGTACATGTGGATAGCAATAAAAACAAAATGCATTTAGGTTTGTAACATGAATGAAGTAGAGAGTTCAATGGCTTTGATGTGCAGTAATGGCCCAAGGTCCTTCGAATGGTGTTCCTAAGAGCTTCAGTCACAGGCAACTGGAATTCTCTTCTTGTCTCTTGAATGTGTTTCACCTCTTATCCAAGAAACTTCCCAAAGTCCCAGATTTATACTGTCACCCCCAATGTACATGACTAATAACCCGTTAACAACCCATGACTCACATTCGTTGAAGTGTGAATGGTTGCGAAACTGCCAGCTCAAGGATGACTTAAGACGTCAATGGTGGTGAAACTTTCTGGAGAGAGACCTCAAGATGGAATTATAACCACTTGATAGTTGGTGTCAAAGTCCCCCTCCTCTGTTTAGAGATGGTTGTTCCAGATTAACAGGGATGGTTTCCTTCAGTTCTCTCTCAAATCGTCTGTCCAGAATGTGAACATTGCCGTCCTCAAATGATTGCTCCTCATCTTTTAGATGTAGGTGGACTGCTGAGTCTTGTCCTGAGGAATTGGTTCCCCATGTTGAGCCATGTGCTTATACATCTGTTGTTTAGTCTCCTCTATATACAGCTCTGTGTAGTCCTTGCATCATCTGAGTACATTTACACTGTTAGAATGTCAGCTTGTGTCTTGATGTTTTATCTACAGGGTGAACCAGTTTTTGTCTGAGAGTGTTACTGGGTCAGAAATGCACTAATATGTTGTGTTTGGAGAGAATCCCTATTAGTTTCTCAGACACATCAGCTACATATGGGATCTTCGGGGCAGTAATAGGCCATTAACCATGTGAGTTGGGTGTCAAAATGTATATCTGGGACTCCCCATTACTCAGAATTAAAGAAGCCTCTTGGATGAGATGAGAAACATCTTCAAGAACCAAAAGGAAAAGTCTAGTTGCTTTTTACTGAAGCTGGTTGGATTAACATGGCCCAGATTACTGAGAAACTACATGGATCACTTTTGACAAAAATCAGTTCAAGAGTGAGAATGTAGACTTGTGTCAAGGCAGAACTGTCACCGAATGAGTATCGATTTCCATGGTTGCTACACATAAAAGAACAGCACGAGAAGTGCCATGAAACAAGCAGGAACATGCAGACTGGTGCTAAACATAGTCTGCAACCCGAAGGTGATCACAGCCCACACAGGAAAAATATTACAGACTAACCAAAAAAAAAAAAAAATCATCCTTTGGGTGTGCCCAGTGCACCGCAGTCTTAAAACTGAGAAGCAGCAGATACTGAAGTGACACTGCAGACAAAGAAATGAAAACCACTGGCAGCTCAGTGTGTAACTTGTGAACGTGCTGAAGCTTGCACACACATTTGAAACCCAACACTGCATGTGGTTAATAAAATAATCACGTTTACCTCAGAAATAAACCAACATTATCCTGCCACTGACAATTAAAAAACAGTTGTCAAAAAAAATTAGAGTTTGCCAGCATCACTTCTTTAAAGCAGCAATATTTGATATTCTTACAATAGTGTATCAAATGACAGTGTTGCTTATGTTAATCGATCCTCAGAGAATCTGCAGCTGCTCTTTGCTTTATGAAGCCTTTGAGCTCATTGTATAGCATTCTGGCCTGCAGTTTCCCTTTCACTGCTCCCACAGCGTTGTTTTCAGATGCTGTTAGAACAGTTAGCGAGTAGCCAGTAAACATTAGCAGGTAAAGACCCACATTTTCTCCTAAGGAGCTGGTAAAGACCAAAAACAAGACCAAAACGACTTAAATGCCCCAGTGGGCCAGAAACATGATTCTAAATGAATGATGCTGTTTGCTCCCCAAAAAAGTCCCAAACAATCAGTTACTGCATGTTTAACTTGTTAAAGATAATAATATTCATATTAAAAGAGAATATTATCTCTAAAGGTAAATTATCTTTTTGTGTTCCACCAAATAGTTTAAATTTAACACAGTTTCTGCTGTTTCTGTTTCTTCATTGCATGATACTTATTTTCTTAAAGCATTAGATGCATGCTAAGGATTTAGAAGTATGATTTTGTAATAAGGGTTGTTGCTAATTTAGATCAAATCTAATTTAAGGGATATTGGTCTCTGAGTTGCACTTGAAGAGCTCATTTGCAAAAACAGATAACTCCATTTTTGCAGATTTTCAGAAAACGTTGTTGTTGTTTGCTTGAGATAATATCAATCAAACTAAAGTTGAGTGAATCTGACTCAGCAGAAATGACCTGACAAAAATGGAGATAACTTAAGTTTGATTGATAGTGTCTCAGGTAGACGACGGAAAAGTGGGTTTTCTGAAGGTTTGTGAAGATGGAGTTATCTGTTTTTGCAAATGAACTCTTCACGTCTTTTTTTGCTCTCTTTCCTCCAGCTTGGATAAGATATCATACGATAAACACTCAGTGTTCACAGCCTGCAACTCAGACTGCTTTTGCTCGCCGAGTGACTGGGACCCCGTCTGCGGAGAGAACGGCATCACATATGTTTCTCCTTGTCTTGCTGGCTGCACCACCTCTGCTGGCTCAGGGAAAAACACGGTACGTTGACAAAGGACTCAACCTATGTAAAATACTGCACATAGGAAATTAAATGGAAATGATGGCGGTAAAAACCTTAGTAGTGCGTTGGCTGCAGCAGAACTTAAAACAGTTTTGCTTGCCAAGTATATATAGCGCAATGTTGGCTGGCTCAGAGAAATAACACATGCCCACAGCTGAGCTTATGTTAAACATATGCTGAGCTTGAGCTGCACACTGTTGTTACCACGCAGGTCTGTTGATGTTAACTTCACTGCATGATCCATGGTGCATCTTAAAAAAAAAGCATAACTGATAAACGACGACACAGAGCCACCTGTTCATATCTGTGTACTCATTTATTCTCCGTTGTGATGAAGGGGGATGAAGGGGATGACGTTTCTACCACATTTACCATCAAACAGAGCTCAGTCTTTGTTGGAATTTCTGTAACATGCGATAAACGCTGTGAACGTCAGACTTAGCCAAAACTGAAGTGCTTTTTGTATCACTTCATCATGACTCTTTCAATTGTTGGAACAATCTCAGATGTAGGCAGTAAATCAGAGGACCGGGCTGGGTGGGGCTTTATTTTACACATGATTGGCCTCTATTTTTTTTTAAAAAGGTTATTGCTGATGGCAATTCATAGCAATGTGTGAACAAAAATTGAATATCGACATCGGTAATATCGGTTATCGGCGATATCAGGAATCTTAATGTCGGTACTGGCCAGAAGTTTTAACATCGTGCATCAATACTAACATTGTTTACATTTCATGGTTTGCTGCAGCATTATATGGTTTCTGTAACTTCCTGACTCACTGAAAATAAAGACAGCACAGACCAAACCACTGCACATTTCCACTTGTATATTCGTATAAAGTTTGTATTGCTGTGTATATATATATGTGTCTGTGTCCTGCTATACGTGGTCATGTGTGTGTGACTATGCATGTCTCTCCAGGTCTTCTCTAACTGTAGCTGTGTCGGTGTGGCTGGTAACTTTACGGCCAGTACAGGTCAGTGCCCTCAAAAGGACGACTGTGACAGGATGTTCCCGTACTTCTTGGCTCTCTCTGTCATCACCTCCTTTATCATCTCTCTTGGGGGGACACCAGGCTACATGCTTCTCATCAGGTTAGATTTAAACTTCAAAGAATATAATGAAAAAGGACTTTGAAGTAAATAAATGGCCTTCTTTTTTTTTTTTTTTTACACAGATATAAAGGGTCATTATGGCATGAAAGTTCCCATTGTTTTACATTTCAGGTCATATTTTCATGGCTGGCCTGGGAATTTGCTTTGCACGTCTGTGTGGTACTTTGGTCCAAACACATGTGGGAGGTTTATTCCAATGTGTAGCATAGCACAACTTTTTGATGGGAAATATAGGGATATTTAAAATAAATTTGAAAGTAGAAAATAAAAAATAAAAACATTTACAAAAACTGAAAAAAACGTCAATCAGCATGTGCAACATTTTATTGAAGTGCCCACAGGTGTTATTGATACTGAAAAATATGGCAACTCTACATACTACAGATGTTTTACTACTGACATTTCAAATTAGTTTATATACTTGTCGCCTATTTGGTTTGTGTAAACAAAACTCAACAGTTCAAAGAGTTAAACTAAAAAGTCCCTGAATTTTTGTCATGTGCTGAAATGTTAATGACTTCACAGTTGTACCAAGAAGCAATGAAGTTTTTGTTTTCTGATTACAGAATCTGGTTAGAAGCAGTGATATCAGCAGTGTAGAAGTTTTAACCCTATTCAGGACTTTGATGTTGCCATATGTAGAAGGTCTTTCAGGGTCCACTGGACCCCAAGAAAGAATATGTGCAAAATATTTGTCGGTATTCATTATAGACTTTTATATGATGTTAAATACATTTTCTGATAAGTTGACATATTTTTTGTTCCAAATGCACAACAAATGTCCCTCTTTATATATATATATTTTAAAAAATCTTCAAAAAAAAAAAAAAACAATACCTGTCACCTCAACCAAATGCCCTGGGGTCCAAAAGACCCCAAAGGCCCTGAATAGGGTTAAATGAGACATGTAGAATTGAACTATTTTATTGAAATATCACGATTTCAAGCTTATATTAAATCATTTTCCCTATGAAGTGGCATATCACAGATGAAAGTTCAGCAGATTTAGAAAGTTGAATCCGATTGTTCTTTCTGCTATTACAGTTTCTGGCTCAGATAAATGGTGTGGTTTTGGTAATAATCTTTAAAAAGAAAAAAAGAAAAAAGAAAAAGAAAAAAAGACGACTTGCCTTTCAAACCTGCTGGTAGGTGCTCAGCCAGAGAGCACAGCCTTTACACATGACTTCTGACTGGTATGTTTTAGTCTGTATTCTGTTGTTGATGTGTCCTGTGTGTTATTCCCTCCTGTCCAACCTTCTGTTTAGCAAAGTGAGAGTGTCTTAAGTAAGATAATCATTTAGGACATGAGATACTGCAATCATTATTAGTCATCATTGTACAGATTAAATAAAGACAACACTGCTTGCTTTTGGCTGCTGAGGCCTTTTACTATTGACAATATGTGTAACTATGATTGGCACAGCTTTTTTCAGAACAATGAGACCACTAATGTGACTGGTTACAAGTGACATCTACACTGTCCCTGTGAAAAACACCTACGACTGTGCATTTGTGGTATATGCTATCATGCATGGTAACATGTGACATGTATAAGTTTACAACTGATGCACCTTCAATTCCAGCATAGGTGATTTACACCCTTTGGAACTGTGGTAATTGTCCTGAAGCCTTTTTACAGTCAAAAAATGTTGATAAGTGGCATTCCGATTAGTAGGATTCTTATTTTGTTGTGGTTTCTGAGTTAGCCCTTCAGTGCCGTGGTCAGATTCTGTTAGATTAGTTCTAAAATTTGCCGCTTCGATTCAGGTACATGTATTTGTTTTTCACGACTTTGCGCTGGGTTGTTTACTTTCCACTGCTTTTCGTAGAACTTGTCCACCGGATCTTCTCATTTACAGGAATCATGGGATGTGATTTTTTTTTTTTTTTTGTATCTTAAGCTTTAAAGTAGTCAGGGACAATGATTTGAGCCGTTTATAGCCAACTTACTACGATTGGCAACGGTTCCATGTTTGTGTGGGCCTTTGTCTGTGTGATCCACGTATAAACAGTGGCTTTGTCAAACAGTGAAAAAAAAACAGTCTGTTGAGATGGTTAGTTGAGGATCACGGAAATTCTTTAAGGTGAATCTCTGATGTGCTGCCAGAAAGTGAGTTTAAGAAGACTGTCGTGAGCAGCTGCGAAGGGAAAAAGAGCTGCTGCTGCTGCTGCCCTGTTGACCCGGCTGATCTTGCAGTGAGAGCACATTTCCTGACAGTAACTGACAACAATGATATGTTCCTGAGAAGACTGGTAATTAGCTATGATAACACGTATCAGCTTCTACAAAGCACATCCTGCTCAGTTAAACCCTACCTGGAATTCAGCATGCTGAGCAGCAGGTATTTTAAGAGATCCGCTGTCCAAAATTACATTATGGCTTTTAGTTAAGGTGTGAACTCTGTGAGAAGCTGTCGCGGAGTGCTAACTTTGTTTAAACTGAATCGATGAGGTGTGTCACGAGTGGCACTAAATGATGTTGGGGGTTGAAACGGTGAACTCATCCTTCATTTATTTGTGATGATTACTACCTCTTCTCACACAAAAGAAGTAGGTCGTGACACTCTGCTGTGTCTCTCCCACTCGTTTTTTTTTTCTCAGAGGAGATTGTGTGACACTTTTGTAATCTTTTGTAACTGCACTGGTGAAAGGTAGTGAAATAGAGTGTCAAATTAGTATGACAGACATGCAGCTTTGTGAGTGCAGTATGTACAAGCCCTGACATATTGAAAATCAACACAAGTGATGGAGGAACATTTTGCTCACCAGCAAGAGACTGGCTGTTCTGTGCTCTGATTCAATTTAAATCCTTTTTTTTTTTTTAGAAATTATTGTCATTGAGGGTATTATATTCTCAAGGGGAACAGTCAAATAGAGAGGTAATAGTATAAATCTAATAATCCTTGTGACTGTAGTCTGAAGCACCTCTGAGTGGCTAATCATCTGAATTAACTCCGGGCATTTCATCTGTTCATCTTGGATTCAGTCTTTCCTGACAGCTGGATTAGAAGGCCCCACTTGATCATACAGAGAATCCCTCTACATGCTATATTGGAGTTTTCCAGGCAGCTGCTGAGTGTTCATGACCTTGTGAACAGACACACAACCAGCCTGACTCATGTACACACAATAATTATGTTTTAAAGAAAAAAAATGAAAGATTTTGTTAATAAAATACAGATATTTAGGGTTTTACTGCTTTGGAATACGTGCAGTTTACATGCTGCCCTGCCCCAAAAATCATGTGTTGTGAACTAGTTGTAGCTCTTTCTGTACCACAGCAGCCTCTGCTGGTGGATTTTCTGCTCTACATAGAGACATAAAAAGACCTTCCATAGATAGCATGAGCACACTTTTTTTCCCTGTTTAGCTCTCCCTTTATCTCAATCTATATATTGATGTTTTTTTTAATCAAAGAGATTGAATTAAAAGAGGGTTTTACACCCACTCATTAAACAAACACATTCAAGATCCCCTAAAGCTGTGTCAGCTGATCCTGTTGGAATGCTATGGCCTGACAGGAAAGAAACCACTCTGTGTTTTACTGTACTGTCTGTTTTAATGTCTGCACAGTCGTTTCACTCTGTTGATTTACTGATTGATGTCATTCTAAGATGGTTAGGACTGGCTTAAGGAAATTATAACATTCCTCATTAATCTTCTGGCACATCCATTGTTTTTACTTTGTACACTGGTTTCTCTTTTCTAAGGAGCAAGAAAAGCAACTTGGTTTACTGACCTCTGTGCTTTGAACATAGCTGACATTTTCTAACCACTTTCTGATGATATTTCCTGATAAATGTCTGCAATCTTTCTCTGTGCAGGTGCATTAAACCCCAGCTGAAATCTTTGGCCCTGGGTTTCCACGCTTTGGCAACGCGCACTCTCGGTAAGTCGCCTTCTAAACCCATCCCCTAGCTGGCATGTCTAAGTCACTTAAAATAAAATATGTTACTCTCGGTTTTAAATCTGCTTGAAAACCACTGCAACGGTTTTTGTTTTTTTTCTTCCAAAATGCATCTTTGCCAAAGTGTCAGAGTTTGAGCCAGGTGTTTACTCTGACTGCTCTGAACAGTGTTGCCAGAATCTGTCAGTTGTAGGAGACGTGACTGTGAAAATATGTTTGTGCTCCTGCAGCGGGGATCCCTGCACCCATCTACTTTGGAGCAATCATTGACACCACATGTCTAAAATGGGGTCAGAAGAGGTGTGGAGGTATAGGAGCCTGTAGGATCTACAACACCACGGCCTACAGGTAACACTGGCATAATACTGCTTTTATGTGGTCGCTTTATATTTTATGTAAAACCTGAAACAAGCTTGATGCAAAAATGTTTGGCACTTTTGTCCCAATCTGTTATTTTTGAAAGCTAAGTAATTACAATTAATAGAAAAACTACATATCCAGCCGCAGACTGTCAGACTCTTTGTTTTTGAAATGTTTCCGATAAGCCTATAAAAAAAGATGCCATGTCTGCAACAATGGTATATTCAACTTCAAAGCTTGGTCCACCAAGTGTTAGAATATACTGCGTGGGTTTTCACACTGTGTGGGCGACTCTAGTGGCTGTGACAATTAAGACAGCTATAAACACACCTACTGCCCAAATGCCATAATGTCCTCAAACATCATCCCTCTTCCGGGATTCATAACTCTGTAAACTTGGAACACATAGACATGACAAAACACCTTTTTAGATTCTTAAACTTGATGAGAATGTTACAGAACCATGAACAGGATCAGTCCGTGTCAATTCAGGTAGAATTCAGGAAATGTGTTGCTGCACTGTCAGATTTTATTGATAAAAAATGTGTTCAGTGGTGGCAAAAATTAAGTTTTCTTAAATACTATATAGAATAGAATTTTGATAATTTCCTATTTTTTCACAGCTTGGATATTCAGTTTTTAAAAAAGTAGGAGAGCTTGGAAGTTACATTCAGGGTTCATTATTGCCAGAAATATAACTCCCAGAGCCATGAATTTTGGTCAGGACACAGAAAAAAAAAAGTGTTTCCAGCAGATCCAAATTGAATGGCTCAAGCAGAGGCCAAATTTCGAATTATTGGCCCTTGAAAATGGAAAAAAGTCCAACATTTTTAAACAAGGGTGTTATTGGGGCTCCAGAAAGTTCCTGTAAAAGCGTATATTTATGGATTCATCCACATTTCCTGCTAGAAACACTATCTTTGGTCGACATTTCACCAAATTTTAGGAAAGTAGAATTGGACATGTGGCAACTATGGCAAGCCAAGGTTCCAGTTTTTATTTTTTTTTTTGACGTCAAAACATTTTTACAGAACTAAATTTTGGCTCCCAAATAGCAAATAAATGAAGTCCAACTCTAAAGCAGTGGAGCTGAAATAACACAGACTGAGTCAGTAGCAAATTGGTCATACTTTCATAATGCTACTTTGAGAAATATGAACAAATGTAAACTAAAAAACAATCTGACTTCATCATTCCTGTTTTATATTTTGGCAAAATACAGTCGTCCTCAAATGTATTCATACCCTTCCATTAAAGAAAAGGCAAAACTAAAAATAGTCACTCAAATAACTAGAATCTTAAAAAAGTAATAATGAATGAAAATTTGCTAAATTCTAATTTAGTGAAATAAGACATTGCTTTTGTATGGAAGCACATTGCAGTCAGTGGGTAAAAAAAAAAAAATTTGACACCCTATCTTGTAATTACGAGATCCTGATCTGAGAAAAGATCTCGTATTTACGAAAAAAGATCAGGATCTTGTAACTACGAGATGAGGAAAGGTACCGCATTGGCCACTGTTTCACTCAGAAAACTGCACACCCAGGAAGAGGTAAATGCATATGTGAGATATACGTTATCTAGATAAGATACCGTATATAATTAATAATTACGAGATCTTTTCTCGTAAATACGACATCCTTTCTCAGATCAGGATCTCGTAATTACGAGATATGGTGTCTATTTTTTTACCCACTGAATGCAATGCACTTCCGTACTTTTGAATTGTGGTTGAAAAGAATAATTAAAAAAGACAAAACTGTCCCAGACAAATTAGAGCACTTTGCTGATGAGCAGTGGACCAAAATCAAAATACCTGTCAACAGGTGCAGGAGTCTGATGGAGAGTTACAGAAAACACTGGACTACAGTGATTGGCTCAAAGGGTAGTTCAACAAAATATTAGGTCCCATCATGCTTGTTTGCTTGTATTTTTTCATATTTCTGTTGAACCGCAATTCAAAAGCAATGTCATGATTTTCATTTTTTATTTATTATTACTTTTGTCAATTCTAACTTATTTCAGTGACAGCTGATTTATCCTTCTTTAATGGGAGGGTATGAATACATTTGAGGACGACTGTAGGTGTAACTTTCATCAAATCAATTCTACTTTTGACTTCCTCACTCCTCAGGATAGCATATCTGGGCCTGACTCTGAGCCTGCGGACTATCTCGTTTATTATATGCATCCCGGGCTTCATCCTGCTCAGCCGACAGCTGAAGAAGGAGGAACGAAGCGGCATCCACGGAGCGCTGACCAACGGTGGAACTGAACTGGAGGCGCTCAGGAAGGAAGAGTTTGTGATTTCTAACTCTGAGCAATCGCAACACACGTCAGACAACAGCACAGACAGACAGACACGGCTGTGACGGATCCCAGCAGAACTGACCCTCCTCCCCCCTCCTCTCGACTCCTTCACTCATACGTATACAGCCACAGTATGTACAGAGCGATGCTGTACACATGTGCACACACTCACACGAACGAGATTTGCAGGGAATCACATATTGTATCTAATCATCTCATGTAAAGCATAAAATTCTATATTTGTACTACTGGACCTGGGAAGGCTTTGTGAATTTAACACAAATTTGATATAACTAAAATAGTTCTTGAATGTACATGCTGTTGTTGGTTTTTTTTTCCCTTATAAAGAAAAGCGCAACAATATTTTTCAGTTTTAATGCTGGCAGATCGGACAGGAAATGTGACTCGTACAGACTACTGCAAAACAGTACAATTGTTGAACACCAGCATTTATTAAGCTGCCTCTTGTTTTTATTTCTTTTTCGAATGAAGTTTTTCTTCCTGACGCCAGTGTTACTGAACAGAAGAGGTAAAGTGGCCTTAGAAACCAGAGCAGAGGCACAACACACACACACACAAGATCATTTTAAAAAAAAAAAAAGGGCCTTCAAAGAAATGAGAGGGGTTTTTTATTTTCCTGAAATTTACATAAAAAGCAACAGGTTAATGTAGAAATACGTGCCTGGATGTGTATTTCGCTCACTTAAACAGGACTTTGCAGTTGTTGATTTGACATATGTGCCTCATTCCCTCAACAGTTACCTCTAAATGTGTGTGTCATCCGTCTTGCTGATAGTAGAGGGCGATTTTGTTACATTTTGAACAGAGATATTTGAATACTATTTCATACTACCTACAAGTCTTTATACTCATTTAGCAAAAGAAGGTTTAATTTCTGACTAAAACTTCTGCCTTTGACTTAAAGCCCACAGTTAGGTTTCATCGTATCGCGGTTTGTGTTGTGCGCTTTCTGGATGTTGACTTGTTCCTTTGGTATTCGTAATCACTAAAAATGGAAATTGTGTTTTAGTGAAATCTGCTCGTTAAGTGGAGGCGGTTCTGGTGTCAGTATCAATGACAACCACAAGGACTTCAAATCTTTTTTTGTTTTATACTTTCAGCAAACACTGGTTGAGTCAACCCTCATTTTTACATCATAGAATTGGGACAAAATATTGTATTAAGAGCACACAGCATAGGAAACTTACTGAAACACTGATAATTAGAATGAAATCGCTCAGAAGTATCTCTTTTGATCTTATAGGGCTCCATAGAGATACAGTCGTCCTCAAACTTATTCATACCCTTCCACTAAAGAAGGTAAAAAACAGCTGTTGAAATAAGTTGAAATTGACAAAAGTAATAATAAATAAAACTGTAATGAAAATGACAACCCTTTGAGCCAATCACTGCAATCAAGTGTTTTCTGTAACTCTCAATCAGACTTCTGCACCTGTTGGCAGGTGTTTTGGTCCAATGCTCAACTGCTCATCAGCAAAGTGCTCTAATTTGTCTGGGACAGTTTTTTTTTTCTATTCAACCACAATTCAAAAGCAATGTTTTATTTCACTAAATTATAATTTACCAAATTTGTTTTTATTATCACTTTTTCAAGTTTCTAGTTATTTGAATGACTATTGTGAGTTTTGCCTTTTCTTTAATGGAAGGGTATGAATACATTTGAGGACGACTGTACATCGCTGTGCCTTGGATGTGTCTCCAATTTTGGACTGGTGCAACATTTTTAATTCATTTACTGTATATTGTCCCAGTCTTTGGGCAAACCCCCCTACTGTGTGTAAAGAACTACCATAGAAACTCTGTATATGGTGCTGACGTGTCAGAGCTCTGCTTCCTCTTCTTCAGTCATTGATATTATATGTGTCACTGGCTAGTGTTTTTATGTTGTATCAGTTTGTTTTTTTTTGGTGCATATTTTTGTATGTGAAAGAAGTCAGCTGTGCCAAAACCCACAAACATCATGATCTCTGCTCAGGTTTTTCCTATCAGTTTCATTCTCATGAAAATCTCAAAGTCCCTTTTTGTGAAACCAGGTAATAAGTTCTCAAAATGACATCAGTCCACAAGTAAGACAAGAAGCATGTAATTCTTTTCTAAGACTGTTTTCAGGGTTCATATGTGCCCTGGAAACCTTGTTAATTTTTAGACCAGTTTTCGGGTCATTAAAAATACAGAAAATGAAAAACAAGCTGGACATTTTCAGCATGTCTGAGAGCAAACTGTCAAATATCTGACAGAACTGACGGCTAAAATGAATACCTCACAAGGTTTGCTTTTTTTGAAACTGACGGCCAAAGTACTGATACCACCGACAGAGTGAAGGATTAATATCTAAAAAGTTGCTCCATCACACCATTATTCTTTAGTACAATTGTATTTGCATCTTTGCTGCTGTCGCACAATACTGGTGCTTAACCACCACTCATATTCAGCGTTTACAGAGAATTTAAACTTGTCAGAAAGTAAAAACCAGCCAACCTTTCCCAGTATCCATCCGTAATCACATACAGAGACAGATAAATGTGTTTGATGTGAAATTAATGTTTCATTATCCCAACCCGTGATCGAGTTGATCAACAAGAGCGATCAACAGAATTGGACAAGTACATTCATAAGTAGTACTGATGCACTCACCTCAGAAAGAATGCCATTAGTCTCCCTTATATGTCACTAAATTAGCCGTTTTTAACAAACAGTATCTGCATCCATAGCAGAGATCCTGTCCTGGTATTACTGGTAATAAAAACGTTGATTACAACCAAATGTTGTGGTATCATCCAACCCTAACAGGAGCTTTGTGTGATCATGTCCGAGAACGAGCTTCTTTTTTTAAACAACGTGTCGTCTTCATAATAATGACAGTAGCATAACCTCTGAATCCTCAAAGAAAATGAAGGATACTCACAATGTAGCACATGTACTGTTAGTCTGCTGTAGGATACCGACGTCTCACCACAGAGGATAGGAGATAGGCTCTTTTCAGACAGTGCTGAAGCTACCCTCTGGTTTTACAGTTAAGGGGAACTTAGATGACAGCACTGAACTACCGATTCTCCGTTTAATCGTCTTATTGTTACGAAACGGTGTTAGATGGCCTTAATGTTGTTTAACACTATTCTGGATAATACTGTCTAGATCTGTCTTGATCAATTTTTTTTCTTTTTAAATACGGTTATTTTTCAGCAAAAATTGTCCTAAACCTGAAAGTAATTCCTAAAGCAGTTTTACCTTGGATGTGTAACACCCTTCCACCAATGCAAGCAGATCAGAAAATAAGGATCTGTTAATATTATTGTCATTGCGGTTTGCCTAAACCTTCCCCCTAACTGGTGAACAGGAAGCTAACTACAGTGTTGTTTGTCTGGACTATTTGCATTTTTTCCATATCAGGCTCCAACAGCGGCTCGCCCAGCTGAGTGTTCAGTTAAGGCTCGGGTTAGTGCTAGAGTCAATGGTTGTCGTCCTCTAATTACAAAGCCATGGATCGACACATAAAGGAGACTTCAGTAAAGAGGAACTTGACTTAGGGAGTGATCCTCATCAAACATCCCATCCTTACATCAAAGATCATGTCCTGATAATGTATTTCTTGAAAAGAATGGGAGCCCAGCTCATTTCCAAAATGGATGCATACCATTTTTCAACTTGCAGGACGTGGTGACTGTATAATCTTTTGAATTCAGGTTCATTTTCAGGCACAGACAGACTCAGAGAGAAGCAGTGAGAGGTATAGACGATGGAACTCATTATCTCAATAATGTAAGGCATTTACTTGCATTAAAGAAATCAGAATGTAAATAATTTTCTTGGATTATTTTTGTAAAATTTCAAGGAATATCTTAAATGTAACACTAAAATAAAAACTTTTAATATGCAATCAAACGGTGTTTTTGGCGTCATTCATTGATTGTGTTCATGTAAAAAATGCAAAACAAGGCACAAGATAAAGTTTTTGTTGTTGTTGTTGTTGTTGTTTTTATTAAAGAAAATGTCCTACATCCACTTAAAAGGCACTTCAATCTGATTTCCGTGTACAAAAGAAATATAACACAATCTGAACAAGCACGTATCTAATTTTATGACCTAAAAATGAATTGTGGTAAACCCCTTGAATACCTACTTTAGCACAGAGAACCAGGAAACCTTGAAATGTGGTAATTACGACCTAAGCTCCTCCTTTACAGTGACGTGGCTCTAAATAACGGAAACACAACAGGCATACATTCCTGTTTCATGGCACACACTTAAAAGGTAAAAAAAAAATCCCAGTGTGCCCTCATGCAAAAATAAGCGTGTAAAATTCAGTGCAGCAAATTTTAAAGAATCTGGACCCTCAGTGGAATCAGAAACATACATAAGATACTCTCTCACCCACATGAAGTCTATTCTATTTTAAGACTAAAACAAGATCCTAAGTGCTGGAAATTACATTTTCTATCCACACAGATATTCTGTTTTATTTATGTTCATATATATGTTTCAGCTGATGTTCATCAGCATTTACAGCTTTAAATTAAGAGAGGAAACTTAAAGGGAAATTATGTATATGCTAGATGTTGAGACCTCTAACTGTTATCATCAAAAACACGTGAGCGTGATTTGTCGAGGTGCAACTGTACATGCAAACTCTATTTGGACAGTTATGCAAGCACACGCTGACTACAAACTTCTCTCAAGCGCACAGCGGGTGCAGCAGATGTCCCTACAGCATTCAATAATAAAGAAGGAAACCTCTCAATAGAAAAATACATGTGAAGACGTTTAACGCAGGAATAGGTAGCTCTGGCTCTCAACATATCTCTCACTCTACACTGTGCAAATGGCTGAAACAAACAACACAAACCTAAAAACGCTCACCTTTGTTGCATATTTAACATAGTAAGTACTCTGTGATCATACCTGAGTCAATTTCTCACTGAATTCTCTCCAATTACCTTGCACAATTAATCTGCCAGATAGCGTACACTTGAAAAACCAATCCTCTTAGTCACACTGCACCAGGCAGAAACAGGAAACCATCAAGTATTACTCACTCAATTTAAGCCAGTCTGGTGCCCAAATAGAAATTCACCTCCTTCAAAAGCGTTACTGATACCAGCCAAAAGTCTGTTCTTCAGAGGAGCCAATCCTGGTTTTATTATATGCACTATGACACACAGCGTTATATGAAGGTAAAGCATATGCAGTGGCTCTCTTGTGATTGGTCTAAGTAGCCGTGTAAACACACCAACCGTTTTACGTTTTACCAACATTTTACGAAAGCTAGTCGTCCTTTTTATCCCCACTATCCTGAAGATTCTGAAAGAATAAGAATATGAAAAGAAGACATCAGTTAATATGTTCAGTTATTTTATAAAGCTACATAAATGTATTAGAGGTTTTAAGATTTGACTAAACCTAAAAAAAAAAAAAAAAAAAATCATATTTGGAGGAAATAATGCAGCAAAATCTACTGCTTGTGTGTTGTATTAGTTGAGAGTCTGAACATGAACAGGATTTACAGTCATTTAGAGTTGTTTTGAGCAAATCAGCGTATACATCTATATGGACAGGCCAGTCATTTAGAGGCCTATTCTGAGGCCTATGCTGTGTTCTAACACACGTGAGGATGATTTGTGTTTTAACACAGCATAGGCCAATTTAGTCAGTCAGACCTTTTTCAGTTGAGTTTAGTTTGATGATAAATGGAAAACATCTTAAAACATGAAATACAGAGGAGCCATGCCTGATGTTAACTGGCTTGAACGCCACTCTGAAATTGTTATATCAAAGTACTGAATGACCCAACAAGTCATTATCCTGCTGTGTTTACAGCTCAGCCTTACCTGAAGCTCCTGATGTTCTTTCAACAATCTGTCATACTCCCTGGCGAGGCCATCCGTCTGCTTCTTCATTACATCTGCCTCTGACTGGGACTTCTTCAGGGCTGGAGAGGAAACAATGACACATCAACATCAAGTCATCCTAAGCGATAAGATGTGGCAAGCTGTAAAGGCTACAATTCTTATATCAGCATCCCTGATAACATAAAAGGCCATAAAACCAAACACCAAGCCTGTAAAAGCAATGCAAATATTCAAGTGGGTGTGTGCGAATGTATATGGATATTAACCTTCTCCTGAAGTCTTCAGTTCTTCCTTGAGTTTCTCTACTTCTTTCCTCAGCAGTTCCATGCCCTCTGCAGTAGCCTTGTCACCCTTCCCTTCCATCAGAGTCTGAAAGACATTGAATAACATCAATCTGAGGTACACAAAATTAAAAAGTTATCAGATGTGTTACTCTTATGTTAAACATTGTGTATTTACATCTAGAGCTGCCGCATGAGGGGAATCAAACTATGTAACACACAGGCAAATAGAATACATAATGTGTGTCTGCTATGTGGGGAATTCATCAGATTGATCATCAGATCAATTATGCAGGCTACAAATGTAGATACAGGAAAGGTGTGGATTAAAGTTTGAAGTTGAGTTGCACTGTGGGTAATGTAGATACCAGGTTTCAAAAAAGGAAGAAGACCGTGCAGAATAAAGAAGATAGCACTCTCCTTTTCCAAAACCACCAGGAGTCAGATACACACTTTGAACTGTGGTCTACAGTAACTGCAAGCTAATATATATATGATTAAAATTTCGATTTTTTTTTTTTTTTAATAGCACAGACTGACTTAACATCTGTACAATGCATTTTATGTAGTTGTAGTTCTAGAGTGGGTTATGTACTGGATGCAATAATAGTGCAGGTATACTTCTGAGTTATAACCCAGCCAGTGTGGAGCCTACCTGTTTCAGCAGCTCATTGTCTTTCAAGTATTTCTCAGCAGTCTGGTTAGAGCGCTCAGCCTGTGCCTGAAGAGCAGCTGTACTTCCAGACACAGATGCCAGTTGGTTAATTAAGGTGATCAGTCGCTTCATAACCCTGAAAAAAAAATAACATGGGTTAGAAGAAGATCTGGTTAAAGGTATAGACTTGGGGTTGCATTATATGACAGCAGTGACTCACAGCCAGAGGAAGACAGCAAAGCCGGAGATGTAGAGGTTCCTCTGGGCCCTAAAAAGCTTCATGTGCAGGTGGTCAAACATATTTGGTTGCAGCTTGGCTTCTGTGCCAACGTCTCTGCTGGAATATTTCCTCACTTCACGGACAGCATCTAAAGAAGAGCCGCACACCACAGGTTACAAACAAGAAATTTCAGATTTACACTATTTCTTCTGCGTGCCATATTCACAGAGAAATTTTGCCAACAGTTAAAAACATCTCTAGGGATGAGATTAAATAAGTAAACTTGGCTTTCCCATTTGAGCTTTCAAAGCTACATTCCTCATTTCAATTGCAGTAGTCAATAACTGCCCCAACTTCCTAAAACACTGTACAGTTAATGTTTCAAAACCCAGTTCATACTATTTGATGTAACAACATCTTCAGCTTAGAGCTGTTACCCAGCTACAAAGTACGGTAAAAAATAAAAAATACACATATGTGTGTATATATATATGGAGACAGCTGACGTTATGCTTACCAAGGAAGAGAACAATCAGTATTATGATCATGGTGAGAAACACTTTGTTCCAAAACCGTGCCATAAAGTTCCAGATCCTCAGCTGGAAAATGCTCTGCCACCTGCAAAAACACATGCAAAAGCATTCAAAAACATGGAGCATGTAACAGATCATTACACTACATAATATTCAACCTATTTTCTAAAGGATCACCACCGTTGTCGGTATATTTGTCAACACAAAACACACAGCTTGTTCTGTTTCTGGTAATGCAAACTTGACACACATATAGTGACCGGTACTTACCTCCTGGCCGAGATGAAGGGTAAGCACAGGATGACAATGACGCCAATCTCTGCATACAGAAAGAGCGCCACAGCAGTCCATTGCAAACCCATCTTTACTGAGGGCTTCTGAAGTTAACCGGTAAAAGATACACCTGTAACACAAGAGAACAAATAGTGAGCCTGACTCACCTCTCTGAGGTGAACTACACAATAAAGAATACACACCTTAGTTAGTATAGCTGAGACTTTAAGGTACAGAGTGTGTAGGATTTCTATTGTTAGACAACAATACCACCAGTGTTGAGAAACAACAACTTAAGCTGCTCAGCCACTCTGTTCATAGTTCACATACTTGAACATAAAATCACAGAGGCCACAGTTAATGCTGTCAAACTCACGTTCATTCATGCAAATATTCAACATTTATTTAAACACTTAAGGCCTTACTTCCAATGTAGCTGACTAAGAAAATAAAAGGTATCGGCACACAAAAGAAATTAAAGATATATATACATTAAAAGGCAAAGTCAGTAAAATAACTAAAACATGAATTACAGCATTGAAGTTTCAAATAAGTTAAAATGTAAAACCTGAATTGCCCTTTGGATAAAAATGAGTCAAGCTGTAGATTGTTGTGCAGGTTATACCAGGTTGCAGGTGACCAGTCGGTCAAACTGGACTAAAGCTCAGTAAAAACAGTCTGTGCTTGCAGTGTGATCCAATCATTAGAGTACAGTGTGTATTAAGGGCCCACATTAAAACGCAGTAATGAGGTAATGTTAAAGGGGTATAAAACAGTACAAGTCATAGAGATAAATAAAATCCAGGCCTTACAGAGAGGTAGGGCCAGTCAACTTTAGCATACAGCTCACAGTGATGAACATTATCACAGCAATAAATCTTATTGCAGAGTGATTCACAGCGGTCAAGGACTTAAGATGGTACAAAATGTCACCATCATCCAGTATTGACAGTAAAGCAACATAAAGAAAAGTTAGACTATTTAATTTATTCTTATAAAAGAAGCCAATTATTCGGCATGTTAGCCACTAATGCGGACACATGATACTTAGGAGTCAGCTTTTCCTCTCCCCAAATTCACAGATGTTTGTACTAAGAAACACTTTTAATATATGTACCATTAAAAATAAAAAACCATGTTGTTAAAAGCAACGTTATTGTCCGTATAAGGCCACCAAAATCAATAGTTAACAACAGTGTGCGTGTTTACATGTGTATTAGAGGCACATACATACAGAATTTCACCCTTTTCATCTCCACGTTCAGAATCATTAATCCAATGCTTGTTAGCAGACTAGCTAAAGCTAACGTTTAACTAACGCGGGTGATGCGGATGCAGCGAAGCAGTCTAACGTTTAAAACTGTTAGTAAGGTAAATATCTAAAGTCATGCAACAATTCAGGTGTCAACTGACACAACTTACCAACAAAACGCCAAACAATTGGCAAAAAGAGAGTTAACTAGTTGTTAACTTGTGAAATCAGCCGAGCAAACTTTCTCTTCCTGGTCCAGCGTCTTTGGCTCCAACCAACAGTCTGAAGGATCAGTCCCGTTTTTTCAAAATAAAACTAATAGGAAGCTATTAAATGATGTTTGGTTGTCACAGTGTCATCGATTAACATACACGGGAAAGACTTGTGTTTGTTCAATGGTTTAGTATCGGTTCCTGTTAATGTTCACAGATTTTAAATCTTTTCTTGTGTTTGTACTTTTGTCTGTACACTCCCGTCCTTTGTTTTGGATTCGGGAAACTAATTTTGACTTTTACATTGAAGGCACATTTACATTACATTGGTCTGCTTGTCCTTTACATTCAAGTATACTGGTATTTTCACCGATGGAGTATTTATATTCTTTCTGTTGTTACTGTAATAATCGTTAGTAAAAGAAAAAAAATAGAATAAATTACAGTGATTTCAAATAGCAGAAAATAAATCACTGTATTAGTATCATATTGTACTTTTTATTATTTTTCTACACTTTTAACCTCGTATTATTAATTTGTTGCATTACCTTTTATATTGCGGATATTTAAAATCAAACCATTCTAGTGCTCTTTGTAGTTATGGGGCTACAGTAGTACATGTTATACATGTTGTGAAAGTAAAATCAATTGTATGCTCTTAAGTTATCATGTGTTTGTAGGTTTACAATCCATTCAAAAATAATTTCTTCTATATTTTCTTGGAGAAGCAAAATGCTTACATGTTTAGGATAACAGATTTCCGTGATGGCACATTTGAGTGTAACATAATGAGGGCTAAAAACAGAGATCTCGGGTCATCTCTGGTATGGAGTTTCAGAGACTCCTTGATCAACTTATGGAATGTAGACTAGGCTCCAGGTATTTCTAGTGGGATGCTTTAACATCTCTGGGAAGATGTTTTGTCTATCAAGTCACTGAGAAAACATTTTTGTGTTTACTGTCATGTTATCAATAAGCTATCATTCTTGTTCTTTGGGAGAATAAGGGGTGCTGGATAAATCTTGTCTCTTTCTCCCCATTGCACTGGAATAAATTTGCCAATAACCCAGCAAAGTGTTTATTAAATAATGTAAGGCATGAAGAGTCATGGCAATATATCCACAACATATCATTCAGATAAGACCAGCACTATTAACAACTATATATTCCATTTAATTTTACGACATGGCGACTGTTAAGACTCGACAGAAGAAAACAAAGGAATAAAGACAGACATCAATGATACAATTATAGCTTTTCAGCTTTATTTGGCATAAAAACAAAACAATAACACTAAAATGCAAACCATCACATTTCAATATGCTCATGTTCCGAGATCATGAACTGACCCGTATGTGCTCTGGAGGTAATCTATTACTGCTGAGGTACTCGATAGAGAATTGAACACTTTTCTCTCCGGCTGGGAGCTGACCCTCTCCAGCATGTAGATGAGATGGTGATGAAAGCATGTGAATGGAGTTCCCTGCTCTATAGAGATGTCCACCCAGTCCCATACACACTCCAATGGAGTGTCCTCATAGCCGGCGAACATGGCAGGATTAGCAAGCAACCCCCGAGCTGCCATCACACCTAATAAGCAAATCCATACAAACAAGAAGATTATTGGCATTTATGCATCTGTAATAAATTGATATGTGTATTTGGTCAATAGTGTAATTGTGCTAAAAACAAACATACCATCGACACCAGTAAGCTGGTGAGTAGACTCCACATCACGAAGGTACTTTATGTCCCCATTGGCAATGACTGGGACGGATACACTGTCTTTGATCGTCTTTATGGCATCATAATGCACCGGCTGGTGGCGTTCTTCTGCTGTACGGCCGTGGACTGTTATCCATGATACACCGGCTGATTCAGCCTTCTGACACAGATCCACTGTTCGCTTCAAGTCCTTGTGAATTCTGTAGACAAAGTGATTCAGTGAAAATAACAATAATTTAAAAAAACAAAACAAAAAAACTATTACTCAAACAGAAGATCAGAGTTGCACATTCAGGATGAAATGACAGATAAATCACATGAAATACAGTACAATAGGCATTTTTCATACATAGAAAAAGTACATACACAATCTTGATTCAGATCCCTTAGATTAATTTTAATTGTGAACTGAAACAGAGAAATACTAAGTACATACAGATACACTGACACATCTGCAGTTGGTTAATACCAGTTTTTAGTATCTAGCATAATGTCAAACTGTTTACATTTTTTTTTTTACCTTATTTTGATGGAGGCTGTGTAGTTTGGATTGTCCACTTGGTTTCTGACCTGTCTAACCATGTCTTTCACAAGTTCAGGCTTGTTGATGAGGCATGCACCATACCCAGCTGACATAGCCCATCTGAAAACACAACAACAAAACTAATCAAATAACTTCTGCAAGATGTGCAGGCCTTCGTTTGATTTGTATCTAACTATCCAACGTAGTACCTTTTTATAAGCATCTGAAATACAATGTAAGTAATAGAGATCAAAGCAGAAACATAAAAGTTTCCATTACAAATGAGTAGGTCAAACAAATTGTCTGATCCTCTGTAAAAATCTGCTCCTAAAAACTGTTCAAATAACAGAGTCATAAAAGACAAATGGAGGCCAAATGCATTACGGCCTACAGCCAGTATCTGCACCTCTGGGGACAGCCACAGTTGAGATCAACTCCGTCTGAGAAAGGTGCCACCACACAGGCTGCGTCAGCCAGGGTCTGGGCATCATGAGCTGCAAACTGCACTATCAGAGGCCGGTCACCTGAGGAGGAAAAGACAACAATAATGAATACTTCCCATTACCTTATTATTTCTCACTGTTATGACACAATAGCAGCATGCATACTGATCAAAAATATGTATGCAGCATGTACTATTTTATTAAATTCTATCCATTCAAGTATTTGTTTTGTCAACACACAGCATCTCTACAACAGTATGGATGCCATGAAACAACAAAGTATGCACTGTACTGGAATAATAGATCTACATGGAAGTCACACACCAGAAATCAAGTCAGTAAAGACTCTTACATCTGCGTAAGGTTATTAGGGTTTATGTTGCAGATTTGTATAATGTTCATCCAGAGCATTATGTGGCAAATTGTCTGTTGTACCATGTTGTCTGAACTGATTTCTGAGATGACAAATGGCGGAGATGTTGGCATTCATGTGCCTGGCTATGACTCTAACTGACATGCCAGCATTCAGCATCCTAACTGCCTGTTCTGGTCTTTATCTTGTGATCTTCGGCTTCATGTCATTTGAATAAAGCTGCACGATTACGATGGCCTTTTATAGGTATTGGTCAAATGAGTGTCTGTGTGTTGGTCATGCAATCTGATCATCGTCCTTTAAAGTCACATCCGACTTGGGTGTGGATTAAGTCAGTGGTTGAGAATTTGTCACCACTTAAATAGCTCCAAAGCCTTCTTCTACTTCTAACAGTAGCAATGATTTTTTTTTTTTTTTTTTAACTTTCTCCCTAAGTCAGAAAAAAGACCACTTGCATGTTGTGTTTATAAATTAGTGCACAATACATACTAACTTATTCACCACATGGCAAGAAAAACAACACAACAGGAAGACATGGTAGCACCCAACTCCTATTACCATGTTACTACTCACGTTCGTTGGTAGTGAACTCGCTGTCTCTGGCTTTGACAGATCGCATGAAGTCAGCAGCAACTATCATTGGCGTGAAACAGATATCACAGTTGTACTTCCTAACCAAGGACCTGAACGCAAGCCTGCAGGAAAACAGACACACAGCATTGTACATATGCTTCACGTGGTGCAGCAGTGCAAAAACAACAAATGTAACAGCTACAATTACAGGAAGAAAGCAAAATCCTCTTACTTTGAGTATCGAACCATCGGGGCACATATTTTCAGGACTTTCCCCTTTTCAAACATGTCCATGATGTTCGTGTTGCCGCTGGAAGTCTTCATTCTTCACAACTTAGCACTGTTAGCCACGTAGCATAGCAAGCTAACTATCTCAGTATCCGAGAGAAGACTTTCGCTGAACAACAACTTCTGTCGTCTGACATCTATGTCGTTGTTTTAAGAAAAAAACGGACTTGATATACACTGTAAATCACCGTCCTGCCGCACATAGATACACACATACAGCGACGTTTACCTGCAAACCACAACGATGCTTGAGTGGGACATGCGAGGAAAAAAATGTGGGCGTGTCTACGACCTCTGAACCGTTGCGTCACGCAGCGTGAGCTTTACTTCTTTATTTTTAAATTCTACAAATACATTTCCACTTTATTGAGGAAATAATTTTCTACTTTAAAATAGTTTAAATAGCTAAAAAATGTAAAAATGTGGTTCGATGTAGCGACGATACATTTACGTTCTAACCAGTCATGCCATGCTGCCTTCAGGTACTGTGGGGAAAAGTAGCTTTCGAGCTTTCGAGTTTTCAGATTGGACACAACACTACGAATAACTTGATAAAAGATCAAATAAAACTTTAATTTCGAAGGGAATTCTTGAACAGAGGTTATTATGTGCATGCGAATAGGTGAAAACAAATGTAATGTCCTCATAAAGTTCGATATTACAACTACTTTTATTATTCTAAATAAAGCTTGAAATGTATAGAAATAATGTTGACTTTAAATTACCTGTTTCTATCTCATTCTGCACCAATAGGATGATGTGAGGCATGCATGTACACACAAATTAACAAAATATCTATCAATAACATAAATGTCAAATGCTTAGAGTAAACTTAGTTTTATCTTTATGAGAAGCTTCATTATTTAACTGATCAGCTCACTGCTTGCGACACATCACAAGTGAGATGAGTTATGCATAGTAAAAAGACAAATGAGGTGGCAGTGCAAGAGGTTTCCAAATTCTATCCTCTCATCAGGGCACTACTTACTAAAAGGTGAGAGCATCTTTTGAAGAATCCCCTCTGGCACAGATCTGATCAAGACACGTTTAACTAATGGAATAAGCTCTAACACTGCTGTGATTTATTCATACCCTAAAGCCAATCAGGAGAACACACACACACACGCACACACAGATAGTGAGAGAATGAAAAGCAAATAGGCTTTTGCACTTTCCTTCTGTGGCCATGGGAGGGCATTGCAGTAACACAATTCCAAAAACAAAAAACAAAAAAACATCTCCTTGACAAGTCACCCCAGAATAAATGTTTTTTTTTTTTTTTTTGATGTCTCAATAAATCAATAGCACATCCATCACTCGTGATTGTTTTAGTGGCTGTAATATGACCACCTAAACACAGTTGGTCTACTCAATGGCATTTGATCTTTGATGTTCAAAGTTTCAAAAATTGTTAAAAAACTTCAATAATTCACTTTTTTTTCCTTTTGGGACACAAACTGAACATAAAGATATTCTCTTGTGCAGATATACTCATTTTTCCCTGAGTAAATTGAGAAAAATCTCAGCACATGATAACTAATTTTTTTTAGAATTTCTACTCATTATGCCTGTGGTCCAGGCTATGAGTATGTTTGTTATTTTGCAGGCCAACATAATATTTATCTCTATCATTTGTCATCCTCCAAGAAGGATGGCCTCTACCTCCTCATAAAACACACAACTGTTGAACTCATGATGACTTTATTTCAAACTGGCACTGAATAAGTGACTAATATCAAAAAGAAGCATCAACAGATACATTAACAAGGTACAAAAGGCATCACAAAAAATATCCCTTGCCACAACAGTGGAGAGACCCGTTAATCAGGTGATAAAATCTCAGATCCTAAAACTTCAACAGAATAAATACAATTTCAATCCAAGTCACGGCAAAGAAAGTTCTAGCAGTGGAATGCAGCTTGTTACTTTCACTAGTGAAGCAAGTGAGTGATATCAACATACTATCCACTTTTCAGTAAACTCCACACTCATGATCCATCTATGCTACCTACTTAGTCTATTTGTTTTAGCTTACACATCTCAATGAACAGGAAAGTTCCCTCAATCTATCGACATTTTACAAACTGCAGCCGTAAACTGTGGCAAGAGTTAAGGCCTGCGAAGAGCTTAGCTGTGTTACACTGTGCACAAATACACAATACCCTGTGAAAAACACGTGAAAAGTATCAACACATCCTTTGTACAGTGCGAATGTGTGAGTGATTTATCATGAATTCAAACCCCAGAAACACAGTTAACCGCTCTTGTACTCCTTATCTGGTTACTAAACTAGCAGTCTCAACATACTCTTCCCTTTGATTACAACAGATCATATGCACTGAGGCAAGCCTCTTTGCTTTAAAATTTTAAAACCGTGTCACCTGACCAAGTTGATGTAACAGAAGTAGAATTATTTTGCTGAAGGCACGCAAGTATTCTCTTCATCTTGGTCCATATTAGTCCGTTCTACCGCCGATAAAAACTAAATAAAATACGATTATGCCTCGGGAAACTTTTCAACAAGCTACAAACTGAAGCGTTTAATAAAACAGCCATGCCAGTGGATAGCTTCACTCATTGACAGGGATGAAAACCCATCAAGACATGGATTGCATGTTTAATCCATTTAACTCATGTCTTAACCAATCTTTCTGTAACATCACAGCACAGATTCCTCCAGTCCACAGCTTGTGATGGGTGCTTATAGGAAGGCAGACTACACAACTGTAAAGAGACAACACAGCAGGTCAGTGGCAGCCAGCTTTAAGGGGGAGAACCGGTACAAAGGCCATGGGAATGACTGTCATCGCATGTCCCCAGCCATCTCTGCTCTCACTGAGATAACTTTCTGTGGCCCGCCGCCTGCAGCTCCACACTCGAGAGGAACCGCCTGGATAGCCGGTGGCAGTCGTAGCTCAGCTCTGTTGTGTAGACGGTGCTGGTTTTCTTGGGGTAGACGATCGTGGTGCTCTTGAAGCTTTGGGGACGGTGGCGGGGCTGGAGCTCCAGCTGTGTCTTGTAGTGGCGCCAGGTGCTGTGGGACACGGCCACGACGGTCTGCCTGCAGCGTTCGAGGCCCTGGCCCCACGGCTGCAGGGCCACGTCCTGGATGAAGTGGCGGTCCGAGTCGTAGTGCACCGAGGAGGTGTATCTGTGGATGGAGGAGAATGCGACGGTGTTATTTGGTGGAAAAACAATGCAAAGTCCTCTGCTACAGCTGTCCTATCGACTCCAACCCACCTCACTTCCTTTGGCGGTAATGGATCAAGTGCTATGCCTTCCCCAAAGGACAGCGGGTGCAGCTGTGGGAAAGATCGAGCAGGTAAAACTGGAACCTGCAACACAGGGAATGAATCAGCTTCACAGTCAACACATGAGGAGCTGCAAGTTCTCATTGACCCAGTTCACTGCTGAATTGACCCACTTTCTCCAGTTGGCCTGAGCATGGAGCAAGTTTTCCTCTCAAGTCAAAGAACTTTAACAAACATAACATTTAGTTCACTGAAGAAGAAAAAAACAGCTAAACAATACTGTGAGTGGAGGACAGCATCTGAGCCAACTTCCTGTGGCAACATCTATTCAAATGCTTTAACAGGATAAACAACGTATGCATTTAAGGAAGGCACAGGAGATGCCAAATGGTGCGTTTGAGGGCTTGCTTCAGAAAAAAAAAAAAGGATTTAAAACCAGACAAAATAGGAGCAGCGTTACCTACCAGGGAGCCCCTTCCTTCGTCTTCGGACACCGGGCTCACACCTCCCGCTTTATCCGCGCACACAGGCAGCAGCCAGGCGCTGGGGCTCGGACTGGGGGGCAACCCAGAGTCCGGGCTATCGAGTCCTCTATCAGCCCTGCAGCTCATATCCAGAGGATCTCCTTCGCATACATTCGGCAAGTTCAACCTGCCGACCATTTCTAGTGAAGAAATTTGCAAAACTCCAGCGAGCAAGACGCAGGTTACGAAAGGGGTTTGTAGTTCCTCCTCTTCTTATTTTCTTGCAAAATCCCTGGGAGCTGCTGTTGAGCTTCTTCCCGGACAGCACGCACGGCTGCACGCTGGAAAGATCATCAAACCAGGCGGCTCCACAGACGCCTCCGACCCCTCGGACCTCCTTTCACCTTCACATTAAAAACGCAGCAGCCGACTCCACAGCGAATGCGCGTAAAAGTCACCAGAGAAAGTTTATTTACTTCTGTGATAGGCGGAGAAAGAGCGAGTGGCTCCTGCTGCCCGCGGCTCTTCTTCAAACTCCCTCAAAGGAGGCTTTCAGATCCGCAGACATGGAGAAGGAAACGCCCTTCGGAGCGTTTCCTGGCTGCCGATTGGTTGGGAGATAATTGGCAACCAGACACTGGGAACTTTTCCAGATCCTCATTTAAATTGGTAAAAAAAAAAAATCAGGTTGATGTGTCTTCCTGGTATTGTGCAGAATGCGTAAAGTGGAACAGCACACACCCACTTGATGAAACATAAGGGGAAAATTTGTGGCAATGTTTTAATAGTGTTGCCAGTGGAGCATACAATTCAGACAATAGAAACGAGTTAACATTTTGTACCTGAAGGCAGGACTTGGTACACTAATGCAGTTGTTTATCTGATCTACAAGGACTTTGCAAGACTTGAGAGGCACTGGTATCAAAACAAATGAACAAAGCCAAATAAGTTCTCTTTCCGTTGCGGAGAGTGTGATGTATTGTGTTTGATATCATCCAGAGGGCAATTGGAAAAAACAAACAAAAAAAAACATGGGACCAACCTATCCTGGGAACAATTTCTAGGACAAAAGATATTGTTTCTCAAGCTATGTGGGATTTTGCAGTTTGCCCTTCAGAACTGATTAAATGAAACATGAATGAACACACTCTCTTGCAAACAAAACTTTGATTTCTTCTAAGTGTAAAAAGAGACAGAATATCAATATATTGGAATCGTAAAAATAATGACAACACACATGGAGTGTGTGGTTAAAAAGATGACCGTGTTTCATTATTATAGTACAAGGGATCCTCTTTGTCCTCAGCTTGAGAAACTATCCAAGTTCATTTTAGGCCACTAGGATGCATGTAGCTTTTATTGGATGGCTGAGACTCGCACTAATTCCAACCCATTACTCCCCATATTAAATTAAGACAGCTGAGGAAAACCATGGCTATCCTTGAATTAATTATATTCAGAAAACATCAACTTTAATTAAGATCAGGCTTCCTAATATTCATCGTGGATTAGATATGTCACAAAGAAGCAGCCAGAGGCTCTCTGAGCTGAATTTAGTTAACAACACTACATTCGGTCTTCTGAGTGCAAATACACTGTGCAACAATGAAGTAATGTTACAAAGCTCAGACGTTAGTGTCGCAAAAAAAAAAACAACGTGGAAAATTACAGAAGTACATGATATGTAACAACAGCAAGTAACAGTTGAGGAAGTTTCTTCATAATCCAGCATCAACTTGGGTTCATCGTACTGTCAGTCAGAAAATTCAGCCAACTTTTTGCTCTTTCTGTAATTCTCCACCACAGCTGAAAGGAGCGTAATGAAGTCTTTGAGATGAATAACTTCAAGGAAGTTGAAGGCCATCCCAGCCTACACTCCTTTTCACTCTCAAGATGTGATTTCAGTGTGTTCACAGTCTCTTCTTGATTAGTTTCTCCAGTTTGCGGATACGGGAGGATTCCTGCTCAGGGGTGGGGGTGCTGAAGGACAGAGAGGGGCCGCCGTCAGCCCCAGACGGTGGGGTGGGCAGCCTCTGTCGGAACAGCTCCAGCATGCTGCTCTGTTCACTGCGCTTCAGACCCTACGTCATAAAGAATTAAACACACAAAACAACAAGAACACATATCAGTAAGCGCTTGTTGGTTCATAATAAAAGATCAGACAACATGTGCACTACAAAATTTGGTGAAAACAGGCAAGATACAAGAACAGTCAATGCTATGATTTTAAAAGAACAGTTTGACATTTTGGAAATGTGTTTATTTGTATTCCCGTTTGAAATGGATAACAACCATGGCCTTCTGTAAAGCAACAGGCTGTAGTTTTTTTTTCTCACAGTATTTTTATCGTAGGAATTAAACAAACAAGATATATAATGTGAGCTTTACAGGTTCTAGTTGGTAGATTTTGTTGCCGTTGGATAAGGACATTGGAGAGTGGTTTGGATTTCAACAAGAACTCAAAAAGGCAATACAAAATTTGGGATGCGAGAAAATGCAAAGATATGATTTTAAAGGAACAGAAGACATTTTAGGAGATACGTTTAATTGCTTTTTGTTTGTTGTTTTTACTAGTCAAAAACCTACTGTATCTGTATGTTCAGCTTTATCCAACAGCTACAAAACCTACCTGCCAAAACCTCGAAAACTCACATTATGCATCTTGTTTGTTGAAGTAATATAAAACATACAGTGTAAAAAAAACTACAGGAACTCAAATAAACTATTTACTCACATTACTGTTAGAATCAAAATGCCTCACCTTCATGTCCAGAATCTTCTGGAAGGTCTCAGGATTGCCATCAGCCAGGAGCTTGATGTAGTTATCAACAAATACCACTGGTGGTTCATGTGGGGCCATCACCACCTGCAGAAAAACAGAGCTTAACATTGGTTTCACCGCCCACCACACACACACACACACACACACACCAACACGCACACACACTTCCCTGTGAACCATCATACGACGACCCAAGAGATCTTTAAATGATCCCACATGGGGCAGCTATGGCCCAAATGAGCGAAAGGGGGGCTACAACTGACAGAACCGAGTAGTTCTAGCTGCAAACAAAGTGGAGACTATGATTCTATATTTAGGTCCCCACTCCTCAGACTTTTCTCCTTTTACACACCAATTACTCCACGCACGAGTGGGCAAGAATTAGCTTCACCGGTAATTATTTTGGGGGTATAATGAGCCTGGGCAAAAATCAGCATTAGTCAAGAACAGGCAAAAAAGTTTAATGGGGCACAAGTCTTTCTGGATTGAATTCTCTTGGTTGATTTTTTTTTCTTCCAACAATAGAGACTGGGTGGAAAACGTGGATCGGATAGCATTTTTTAAAGCCGCAACAAAGAAGGCAGACCAACACATGGCTGACAGACCCCCCCGCCCCACCTACCTACCATCTCATGCGTACGAGTCCGCATAGGGACCAGCTCACAAACCGTTTCTCCGATCCTTTACTTCAAAAGTGACTTAATGTGTCCTTTCAAGCTTTACTTCTCTTTTAACTCGAGGTAAAATACATGAGAACATGAGCTGAGCAGAGGGAGTGAGTGGAGGAATCACAAGCAGGAGAGACAGAGAGGGAAGAGCTGGCATGAAAGGCTCAGGATCGTGTGGAATTCTTTGCTTTCTTACTAGCCCTGCTGACTGAGTGATTTACTTAGCAACTGTCCTGGAGCCAGGCCAAAGGAAAGGCCTGTAGGGACCTTGTAAAAAAAGGAAAATGGGGGGGGTGGGGGGTTTAAGAATGAAAACGGGCATGAAAAAGGGAGAGAGAGGGAGAAACAGAGTGAGGTGGGGGGCACTCTGGCTGAACAAGGGTGGGGATGAGGGTTACCTTTTAAATACTCCCCAGAAGAGAACTTCAGAAGTGGGAGAGAGAGCTGGGGCTATGGTGGGCTGGGCTGGGATAGTGTGGAAAACAGCCACGTCTCACAAGCATTGTACCGGCCAAGAGACGCTGTCTCAGGCAGACAGAAAGAATCCTATGTACTTTGAACATAACTGAGCACTGGTTCACAAACCAGACAGTCCAGACATATTTATCTCCAACACTCAAAGAAGATACTTTGACAGCTACACAAAGATTTAAGAGATGGGATCTTCATTGGAAATGAAAAATCACAGTAATTATTCTCCTATGAGAACTGATGTCAAAGTTAATATTTTATCTGTTTAAAGCTACATTCATCAAGATGTTTTCATTTAATTTTTGATTGTGAATCAAGTGGCTGTGTGTAACCTCAAAGGGGCCTCCAGAGTAATTATCAACCAACTCTGTAGTTCAACTGAGCTTTCTGGACTGTTTTCGCATCTTTTAGCTCGTTCTTTTGGTTTTATGACACAGAACTGTACAGTTATGGTTCAGTCGTACCACTGGCTACTTCGGGCAGCAGCTTTTTATCAAACAAGCGCTATTATTCTCACTGTACACTACCTGTCCAGCAGAGAAACAAAGCAGGCAACACTGAAAACCAAAGTCGTTGGAGACAAAACCGAACTAAAAGCAGTGTGAGTACTGAATGTGCATTATTCATGTAGCCAGAAACACAGCTCCAAAAAAATGATTATATTGTTTTATTATTCCTAGACGTGAACTGATTGCTAATACATCACTGTTGTGTTTACAGCTTGTTCTGCTGCTTCCAAGACACAAAAAATACCAATTTATGTTGCTTTAAGTGGCAATCACACTCTATTCACAGCATTCAGCATAGTTTGGATTAAAATGAGATCTTAAGATATACTACAGAACCATAAGATAAAATATGTGCAGCTTTTTAAATGCAAACAATCCAAAAGCAAATATCTTAACCTAAATACGGTGAATAATTATTCTTGTTTTGCTTGACTGTAGTGCAATAATCAGGCAATAAAATATGAGCAAACATCATGGCAAGCTTATATAGTGGATAATTCTCAGAGGAGCTCATCTAAATATTAACAATACAAAAACAAGCTTTAAAACTCCAGTTTTTCCCTCTGGACTATTTATACAAGTTCTGTATAAATCAAAACTTGCAAACACAATACTGTTCAAAGAGTTTAGACTGCACTTAATTAAGTCATTAATTAATACAAGGTATGCTGCACTGGGCTATCTGCTTAAATCTCAAAGTGAGCTTTAAATACTTAAAGTGCTCCTCTCTCCCACTCATTTGCAGTTTCTCAGTGGGGGTAAGCCAGATTTAATTTCAAGCCACAGCCTCACTGAGTGTAATTTAAAACTATCGTTGAGTCGAGGCAGAGGAATTCTTGTATTGACCTTCTTTCAATGGGTTTGTCTTTCAGAAGCTTCAGTCTTAGCCAAAGGTGGAAGCAATTACCTGTGAGGAACCTTGATGTTACACAAAGTCGATGGCTAAAATGCTGGCCACAGTACAAAAGCTTCTCTCTTTCCAAAGTCAAAAATGCTCACAGAAGAAATCTTTGAGTGGCTCTTTACAAATAGTTTCTTTTAGACTGAGAACTCATATCTTTCCTGTTCTTCTACCAGGAACAAAAGTAGATTTTTTTCCTCTACATTT